GGCAAGTCGCCTTTTCAAGTGGCCGCGGTCGCGTGTTGCGCCGCCTTCATTACTTTGCAATCAGCTAAAGTGCGTCGCCCGTCCGTCGCCCGTCCGTCGCGTCGGTGTTGCGGTCGGTCCACACCGTCCACACGCCACGCGGGTCCAGAAGGGGGGGGGGCTGAAATGTAGGCAACGAGTCGCACTTTGCCCCTGTGTGAGGGCACCAAGGAGGGCACCCTTTGCGATATCCCCCTTCCCCTTGAACCCGTCTCCTCTGGATCCGCCCTTGCTAGGGGAGGAGTGGCGCATCGTCGCGGTCGTCTGGATGTCTGCCCACTCTGCCCGCTCTGTCTCTCTCGCACCTACAGGGGGCACCCTACGAGTGCGAGAGAGACAGAGCGCCGAAAAGGACTCGCGGGATCAGTGTGCCGTATTCGTCAGCACGCGCGATGTCTGCGCCCCCGACTTTGGGGGCAGCGCCGTGGGACCAAGTTGGCGTTATTCGGTCTGGACAGACGTGCACCCGCATGCGAATGCATCTCGCAGGCACCGCGGTGCGGCACTTGGTGTACTTTAAGAGGAGGCGACGGTCTGGAGCGAGGCAGTCTGACTGCAGCTCCCGGCTTGCGAGGACCTCACCCCCTGTGAGTAGCATTCTCCCGCGGCATTGACTGGCGATGCCTTCTGCGAGAGCGCTCGAACAGCGTCCACTCGTCGCGAGGAGCGGGCTGGTCGAAGTGCTACATTTCACGAAGACAAGCGTAGGGCCCGAAGGGGTGCAACACCTCAGCGTTCGCGCTGCGCGGCGCTGCGTGTCCGCCGCAGTGCCTGCGTGCAGAGCCGTCTGCTTGACGGAGGCCAAGATGCAGATCGGGCCCCACGTGCATCACCGTCCAAGCCGGCCGCCGCGGCCAAGCGTTCTCGCAAACCAAACCGGTCGGGGACTGCCAGCACCGCCTTGTAGGTCCCCAGCGCGACGACGCGGAAATCCTTGGCAGAAGCCTCCTTGGTGCGTTGCACCCGCCGCAACCTCGTACAGTTGGGACCGAGGAGCACGGAACGCTCGGCGGGTCGCGTCTGCCAAAACATGATCGATTTCTCTCGTTTGCTGCACAAACTGACCCGAAAGTTGTGCTTACGATGCGCGTTCCCAACGACTTGTTGCGCCCGGAGGGAAAGTGCTGTAGGCAGTTTGGCGTGTACTTCCTTGTATATTTTGGCTGGTTTGCTGTTGGTTCCCTGACCTCTAGAGCCTTGCTCCGTGTGCTTTGCTCGACTAAGCTCTAAGCCAACAGCGATAAAGCGTGTTTCTGCTTTTCGCGCCCAGAAACTGTCTTTTCCGCGTAGTTTATGTAACGACACGCGTTGGCGCGACAGTGCGGTCGCGCCGCCCTGCACTCTCAACGAGTTTGTAACAATGGATCCGCTTCGAGGATGAGAACCCCGTCTGCTTTCCCCACTCGCCGGCCTCTCCAAGCTGGGGCTCTGCAAGCTGGGGCTCTGCAAGCTGGGGCTCTGCAAGCTGGGGCTCTGCAAGCTGGGGCTCTGCAAGCTGGGGCTCTGCAAGCTGGGGCTCTGCAAGCTGGGGATTTCTAGTTCGGACCGCGCGCGGGGCTTCCCTTGATTCACTGCGATGACCTTGAAGCTGCTCGATACAGATTCGCCGGCTTCGCGGCGGCACTTTTGTCCCAGCGCGCGTCGGCGACGCATCCCGAAGAGTGCGAGAGAGGGGGAGAGAGGCACTGGCGCATGCGCGTGTGTGGTGCCGGCTGTAGGCCTGCCGCCCTGCCCATGCCGGCGTAGCAGACGACACAACATGATGCACACGTCTCGCCGCGTCGCGCGCCGCAGCCAAGCCGCAGCAGACGACACGATGCCGTGGAGTGGAGGGGCGGCCGGCCGGCGCGCATGCGTGCGGGGGTGCGGTGTCGTGCACACGGCCCGCCCGCCGCCTTGCACACGGCACGCCTTGCACACGCCCCGCCCCGCTTGCGCACGCCACGCGTCCTTGCACGCGGGTACCTTTATTACCTGGTTAAAGAGGGCTCGGCTCAGTGGACACGGTACGTTAGAGCAAACATGATGAAGCAGTGAGTAACAACTTGGTGTGTATGTAACATGCGTGGATGTCCTTCCTCACTCCCTACCTCCCTCCCCCTGATCCCCTCTCGAATGTCGGCTCTTAACGTCAGTGTCAATGTAGGGTACGCTGTTGTGTGGAAAATTGGTGCCAGTTTTGAATTGACGCAAAAGTTAACGACATGAAAAAAATAAATGGATTGCTTGATTGCGCCACGTTGTGTTTGTTGCGTAAGTGCAGAGGGGCGTGGGTCCTTGGATACCCACTGTAAGCTCCACATCGTCGCCGAGCTAGGAGCGCTCGCGAGGACCCAGGTGTGGAGGGCGCGTGGGGGTGAGGCGCCCCAGGCTGCTCTTTCTCTCTCGCACTCATGGGGTGTCTGGTAAGGGTGCGAGAGAGACAGAGCGACGACTGTTCGGGCCGCCCTCGCCTGTTGCGCCCGGCCCGCCTCTAGGCCCGCCCCCGGCCGTCCCCTCGTTCCCCTCTTGTTGCGGTGCACACGGCGTGGCGCTGCGCGGCGCCGCTCCCCCTGGACCGCTAGTGGAGGCTCTGCGACCTATCAGTCTCTGGCCGACCCACGCCCCACCAGACGGACCCACCCGGGTGCCCCGCCGTCCCCAGTCCCCAGTCCCCGCAGTGCGCCGCGCCTGGCCGTGCCCCCTGACCTCCGCCTGGTCCGCCGCCGCGCGTCGCCCCTCCGCAGCGTCCCGTCTCTCTCCCTCTCGCCTGCCGCCGGGCCGCCTAATTGAATTTGCTCTTATTTTATCGAAATATCGCGGCCGTCTGGGTGGCCCCAGCGTTGACCGTCGTTTTCGTCTGGGGCCCGGGCCATCGCCGCCACCGGCACGGCCGGCACGCACTGCGTTCGGCCAGTCGCGCGTCGCCCCGCGCCGCGTCGCGTCGTCGCTTCCCTCCTCGCCGTGCCCGACATGGCCGACGATGAGAAGCAGCCGCTGTTGCTGTGTCCGCGGTCCGCGCGGCCTCCCCGCGGGGGCAGCCTCCGCCACGGCCAGGGCCAGGGTCGAGGCCGCGCCGCCAAGCGCGGCTACGGCGGCACGAGGAGCAGGCTGGGCCCGCGGTGAGTTACCGGTACTACCATTCTGTCCCTCTCGCACTCGTGGGGCGCCCCGTGAGGCCGTCGGGGTGCGAGTGGGACAGGGCGACCAAGGCGCTGTCCGGAATCCGCCCGATGCGCCGCGGCGTTTCAAACCTTGAATTGTACAATGCCATGCAGTTCGATGAAGGCAGGCATGGGCAACGCGCTTTTATTTACAGCAGCCAGGTCGTGAAAGGGAGTCCTTGGCACCGCCGCCACCGCTTACAGTGTGTTTGCGGCTCTTTGAACTTCGCGCAAGTTGTCCCGTGTCACGCACTATTTTTTTTCCACACAGACTTTTACACAACTGGATTTGTTTCCGGCTTCCGTGTGCGCATGTCTCGTTGCTCGTGTTTTTGAGAGTGTACCACCGAGGCTTCTCCTCTAATCCCGGAAAACGAAAACAACGGCCGGGACGGACCGCTCCCCGCGTCTGGAAACCCCATTTTCTGGACAATAATTCGCGATAATTCGCCGCCACTACTTGTTTTGCCGTTTGCTTTCGATGCTTTCGGTGCGGTACAGAGCGCACAAACGCCCCACCCTCTTTAAAAATCAGAAAACAGCCGAGCCCAGGGCCCTAAGACCTGGCGTGGAATAGTTAAGTGTTTGCCCGGAAACTGAAGGCCAAGTTCAATAAAAATCACGTTGCTCCTTGACCTTGACGAAGGGGAAGGAATTTCAAGGGGGGGGGGGGGCTTTGGGAAATTGGTTCGGCACGTGGAGCGCCAGCACAGGTGCGCATGACAGCCTGACAGGTGCGGCACGCCGGACTATGGGGATCATCCTTGCGAACAAGTGTGGGTTCGAATAGGGAAAGGGAGAGGGGGGACTTATTTAAATATGTCGCTGTCAGTCGATCCATCTTTTTATGTCTCCAACAGTGCTGAAATTTCCTGATGGCGAAGTCTGGTTTCGGTGTTCGTTCGGGCCGTTGCGATTGATCCCCCTTTTCACTGGCAGACGCGCCTCGCCTCGCCTTCCCGAACTTGTGTGTGTTTTGGAACAGGTGTGCTCGAATCCAATCACCTTGGTGCCACAACACGTGTCTATTTGAGCGCTTTTCTTGTCGCCAGCATACACTGTAAGCACCCGAGTCTCGTTTGTCCCCTCCGGAGCTTGGCCTGCTTTTTCCTCCTTTATCGCTGCCATAACAATCGTGGGCCTTGCAGTGCGGTGCAGCGCAGCTAGCCGTCGACGCGCCCAAACTCCTCACGGCCCGATACCATCTTTGCCTGCACCCGCAGACTGACTTCAAACGGCGCCCTCGTCGCTCTGTCTCTCTCGCTCCCACGGGGAGTCCCGTAGGGGTGCGAGAGAGACAGGGCGACGGAGGCCTGCTCGGAAGCAGTGTGCAGTGGAAAGCACCAGAGGCGGCGGGGCCTCTAGGCCGGCAGGGCGCCGTGGTGGCGGATGGGCGCGCGGATGCGAGTTCAGTGAGCGAGTCCCCCAGAGGCCTTCTGGGACAGCGAGCTGGTTACTTACTTTAGTTGCTGCGCCGTCCGCTCTTCACTCGTCATGTGAATTTCATTACTCGTTAAGCCTACTGTACGTTCCCACTAGTTTTGCGAAAATGTGAGGGGAGTGTTCTGTGGAGATGGGTGCGATAACACCAGTGACATGATGCAAGCCGACAGCCGCCACACTTTCTAGGTCCGCGACGACGCGATGTCTGTGTCTGTAACAGTGTGCTGGATGGTGGCGCTTGTGGCGTCGCTTGGCGGAAGCTTCCCCGCGCACCCTGCCCATCCGCCCGCCCAGCCTGGGCTCCGACATTGTGGCGGCGACATTGTGACCACACTGTGACTGTGACGCTGACGCCGCTCTGTTTGTCTTCGGCAGGGACGTGGACGAGACCTCCGCCCTGATGGCGGGCCAGGACGACGACGCGCAGGGCTCCGTGGCCCGCGAGGACACCGTGGACGTGCGCGTGGAGGGCATGACGTGCCAGTCGTGCGTGCGCAACATCGAGGGCCACCTGAGCTCCAGGCCCGGCGTGCTGCACATCAAGGTAGGCGAGACCATGCCGGCGTCCTCAGGGGTCCACAGGATCAGGGCGCCTGCGAATGGCGGGGTAGGCAATCCCGTCACACTGCCGTGTCTGCTGGCGGCGCTGGTTGCCTACCTGGAAGGGGCTCCACAGCGGGCGGCCAACACTCAAGACGCGGTTTGAGCTGCGGAGTCCCAAGAAGGACCAGAATCAAACGTGTGTGACCCCACCAGCGGATTCCTCGTTCGGAGAGCATTCCGTTGGTGGGGTCACATGTTCGGTTCGCATCGCATTTAGCGACTCTAGAGCTCAAAACGCGTCCGGAATTATGACCGCCACCAACGGTCTTCTGGCCCACTGTGGGCTCTTTGCCATTGCCGGCTGGCTGGACCGCAAATGATCGTTTGCCTTGCGGGCTCGACCGGGCACGTCACGTTTCCTTTGTCAGCCATTCATCTCCATCTTGTTTTCTGTCTCGTAATTGAGAGTTCACAAACGTCTCTCCCGTTTCAGGTCAGTTTGGAGAAGAAAAACGCCAACATCACTTACGACCCCAGGATGACGACAGCAGCAGAGCTTGTAACCACCATCGATGACATGGGATTTGAAGCGACCCTGGCTGACAATAACAGCATTGAGCTGTCGTGTCTTATCAGAGTGGATGGCATGACATGCATGTCCTGTGTTCGAAATATAGAAGGTATGGTGCTGCTTACTGATTCTTTTGCATCTTTGGCATGTGATTGACAAAATTAATTGATTGTATTTTTATCTTTTTTTGTCGTTAGGTACAATATCTGGCAAACCAGGAGTTCATCACATATCAGTAAGTCTGGAGAAAAAGGAAGCTTCCGTCAAGTTTGACCCCATTGTTGTATCAGCAGCAGAAATAACTGAGTTTATTGACGATATGGGCTTTGATGCCAAGCTTTTATCAGGAGGAGGTGATTCAGCACCTTTAGGTAACTATCACCAAAACCCACTTATATAATACTTTCTTAAATTTTATCATCTCAATTTTTCATGAACTAATTGTCTCATGTGGTTTTCTTAGTCGGAAATAAAGAGAAAAAGGGGAAAACATCAAAGAATGATGTAGTTTCTAATGGTTATGATCAGAAAATAAACATTGAAGAGGCTCTGGAGTCAAATCTACGAAAGTGTTTCCTTCATGTGAAAGGAATGACGTGTGCATCATGTGTCAGTGCCATAGAAAAACACTGTCGAAAAATTCATGGTAAAACACCTTTCTAATAAGTTATTTTTTCTTGTCCTTTTGAATGCTTTTCTTAAAATATTGTTATTTATTTATTTTTTAGGCATTCATAGTGTTTTGGTTGCTCTTCTTGCTGCCAAAGCTGAGTTTAAATATGATCCAGCATTGATCCAAGCAGTAGACATTGCAAATTCAATTACAGAGCTTGGATTTCCTGCAACATTGATCGATGAACCTGGAACAGGCGAGGCTGAAGTAGAATTAAGGGTATGCAACTGTCCATATGCGACCAATCATCTTAAGTGTGTGTAAGGCTTTTATTCATACTGGCATTAAATTTTCAGATTTCTGGAATGACATGTGCATCATGTGTGAATAAAATTGAATCCTCAGTTAAAAAATTGAAAGGCGTTAAGACAGCCTCTGTTGCTCTCACCACTCAAAGGGGCAAATTCCGTTTTGATGCTGAGGCAACTGGTCCTCGAGATATTGCAGATTTCATCACAGGGCTAGGATTCCCAGCTTCATTAATCTCCAGAGACAACAAATCGACTTCACATTTGGACCATGAGTATGTTGTATTCAAATCTGTCTCTTTGAATTGGAATGACTACAATAGTTCCATTTAATTTCAAAGAGTTAATCATATCTTTAATTAATTTACAGGGAGGACATCAAGAAGTGGCGCACTGCATTTATTATTAATCTTACATTTGGGCTTCCTTGTATGTTATTTATGATGTACTTTATGTTTGGAATGGACTTTGGATACATTTCGCATGAAGATATGTGCTGTGTGGTACCTGGTTTATCCTTGGAAAACCTTTTGCTGTTTGTCTTTTCAACTCCAGTCCAGGTTAGTTTTTTTCTCATTGATAGATTCTGTTTTACTTTCATCACACGTTCCTTAAAATGTCTTGATTTTTTTTATTGCAGTTCTTTGGAGGCTGGCACTTTTATGTTCAAGCATATCGAGCACTGAAACATAAGACTACAAATATGGATGTGCTAATATCAATGGCAACCATAATATCCTATGTGTATTCAGTATGTGTTCTTTTAGCCTCTATGATTTTAGGGACCCCAACAAGTCCACAGACTTTCTTTGATACTCCTCCTATGTTATTTGTCTTTGTATCTCTGGGTCGATGGCTGGAACATGTTGCAAAGGTAAGATGAAGTCCAAACTTGCTATAGTGGTTCGCTTCAGTCTCCAGCAAACTTATTTCTAATTTATTATTTTCAGGGCAAAACATCAGAAGCACTCTCAAAACTACTGTCACTAAAAGCAACCGATGCTCTGCTTGTTACAATTGGCGAAGATTCAAATGTTACTTCAGAGAAAGTCATCAGTGTTGATCTTGTTCAAAGAGGAGATGTTCTGAAGGCAAGTCTATGTTGCGGTCTTGGAAACCTCAATAAAGTTCTACATCTACTGGACTTTTTGATCACAAATTATCACTGTGGTTTATTTATGTATTTTTGTTTCCCTAGGTTGTTCCTGGATCTAAGGTGCCTGTAGATGGTAAAGTTATTTTTGGACATTCAACCTGTGATGAGTCTCTTATTACTGGTGAATCCATGCCTGTGCTCAAAAAAATAGGTATGTGTGGGCCTTTTCTTTCCAAATCTTCTTTATGTTTCCTATTTTCTGTCATTGTAATGCATTTTAATTTAAATTTTTTCCAGGCTCGGTGGTGATTGGTGGCTCCATAAATCAGAATGGTCTTCTTTTAATGACTGCCACTCACACTGGAGAGGCCACAACTTTGGCTCAAATTGTCCGACTCGTTGAAGAAGCCCAAACATCAAAAGCCCCAATTCAGCACCTTGCCGACCGCATTGCCGGGTACTTTGTGCCACTTGTAATTGGTGTCTCCTCTCTTACTTTGTTTGGATGGATTATCAGTGGTTATGTTGATTTGAAGCACCTGCCTATCAGTGTAAGTTTTGCCATGGACTTAAATATTATAATCTGTCTCTAATGCTGTGCATTTAAAACTGCTTTTCTTTGATGCACAGGAGGGTGAAATGAAAGGCTTAAACCGTGATGAAATAATATTCCAGTATGCATTCCGTTGCGCTCTGAGTGTTTTAGCCATAGCTTGCCCCTGTGCTTTGGGTTTAGCTACACCCACTGCTGTAATGGTGGGAACTGGAGTTGGAGCACTAAATGGCATCCTCATCAAAGGTGCTGAGCCGTTAGAAAATGCTCACAAGGTGAGTTTGGTTTCCAAATTACTGACTAAGTTATTTGTTGTTGTTTTTTTACCCCTTTTGAAATCCATGTCAAATTTGGAATTTGGTTTTACTCAGGTTCGCACAGTAGTGTTTGATAAGACTGGAACCATAACTAGAGGAGTTGCATCTGTAGCTCAAATCTGTCTATTTGTTGACAATGCTGCATGCTCTCTTGCTAAGCTCCTTGCTATTGTTGGTACTGCTGAGGCAAATAGTGAACATCCTATTGCTGCTGGTAAGCTCTTCATTGTCAATTTGTAAATATGATGTGGTTTTTATTATTGTTTCATATACTGTAGTTAAAATTTTCCTTATTTCCTTTCCTCAGCCATAGTTAAATTTGTGAAAGAAACATTTTCTGTTGAAATTTCTGGAAAGTGCAGCAACTTTGAGACTGTTCCGGGCTGTGGGTTAAAATGCACTGTTTCTCACTTAAATAGTATGCTCTCAGCTGCCAGTACATCCACCACGTTGACAGCTTTCAATAATTCAAGGTATGTTGGCAAGGTGTTCCACTCATGTGTAATAATATTTTTTTCACTCTGTATTTATTACTCTTTTATGTTTTCAACTATTATTTTATTAATAGAAACCAGAAAGACCCAACAACCATAGTTGATGGTGTTGTGTTAAGAACTCACCTGACTCAACAGGCTATGCATGAAAAGTGTCTGTTAGAGTTGCAACAAAAACTTGATGAGAATGTGGAAAGTGTTTCCAAAGATGGATCCTATGCAGTAAGTAATCTTTTGACGCTTACTTGATAAAGCAAACTTCTCGGATTCATCTTCTTACAACCATTGATTTGTATCCAGGTTGTGATTGGCAACAGGGAGTGGATGCATCGGAATGGTGTCAACATGGCTCCCGAAGTGGACGACATCATGACTTATGAAGAAGAGAATGGCAGGACAGCAGTGCTCTGCGCGATCGATGGTGTGTGTCTCATATTTTTTGTCTGTCTTTCATTTTTAAAAGAAATTTATCCTTTTTACATACATTAACGCTTTTTTTTCCAGGTGCTTTAATTGGAATGATAAGTGTGGCAGACATGGTAAAACCTGAGGCTCACCTTGCTGTGTACACTCTGAAGAAAAGGGGATGTGAAGTTATTCTCCTTACTGGGGACAATAGGAAAACAGCTGTTGCCATCGCCCGTCAAGTATGTAACATCTATCTGCAGTCCTTAAAATTTACGTTGCTGGTTTGTGATCCAGGTTTTCACTTCTGGCATGTTTATTTTCAGGTTGGCATTACGCGAGTTTTTGCTGAAGTCTTACCTACTCACAAAGTTGCTAAAATTCAAGGCCTTCAGAAATCGGGTCACAGGGTTGCTATGGTGGGAGATGGAGTCAATGATTCGCCAGCCTTAGCTCAGTCAGATGTTGGAATTGCAATTGCATCAGGGACTGATGTTGCAGTGGCAGCCGCTGACGTCGTACTAATGAGGGTTTGTTTAATTCTGCTGAAAGATGAATTTATCATGTAATCATTTACAGGGAAATTATCAGTAATTCTTGGTCTGTTGGTTTAGAATGATCTTCTGGATGTTGTGGGCTGCCTGGACCTTTCAAGAAAAACTGTTCAAAGGATTCGACTGAATTTCCTATTTGCCAGCATGTACAATATAGTTGGCATTCCTATAGCTGCTGGCCTTTTCAGTCCATTTGGTTTTATTCTTCAGGTATGATCCCCTAAATTATTTTCTTTTACTGTTTGACTGGATAATTGCTGTTAGCTGATTTTCTCACTTCCAATGTTTCAGCCGTGGATGGCTTCTGCTGCCATGGCTCTCAGCTCCGTTTCAGTCGTCGCCTCATCCTTGATGCTGAAAACGTGAGTACTGCCTCTGATTCTCATTTTCTGTGTGGGCTGGAGGGTTTGGATAAGAGGGCAAATAAAGTGCATTTTCTGGGAGTAATTTATCACAGATAATTTAATTGCTCTCAAACGTAAATGTTTCTGGTTTCTGTCTTGATAAACTACTTTCACTGGTGTTTAGATGACAGTCATTATTGCTAGGGCAGTAGCCGAGATATTAACAGTGCCATTGAATTTTCTACTGGACTAAAGAAAGAGATCCTGCCTGTGAAGTTGTAACTTGTGCAGGAAGTACTTCTTAAAATTTAAATTTTTAAATTTTGTCTGGATCAAAATTAAATCTACAGCATTACTTTTTTTGATTGCTGTGTAAATGTTTTGACTAGTGAATATTTATCCAGTATTATATCCAACAAAACAGAAACTTTGTTTGGGTGCTTGATTACAATGTCATTTGATATAATACATTTTATGTCAACAATAGTCTCTAGTTTACAATACTGGCATTGTATTTTTCCCAAATGATTATCAGACTTTGCTCTTTGTCATTTTACAAGAGGACTCCCAACTTGTTTCGTATCATAGACAAACTATTTAAAATCTCTTCACCAAACATTAATTTTTACATAACTTTCACTGTACACGTTTCAAAGTCAAGTAAAAATCCTCCCTCAGAAAACAAATCCTTAAATTATAATTCCCATAACTTAGACATATAAATAAATATATTATTATTGATACTTAGTATGCACTTTCCAGCAGTCAGTAGGACTCTTGTTGTTCTTATCTCAAGAGCATTCCTTAGGAGTCAATACATGAGATCGAAGTCTGTCGCCACAGGGTATGGACCAATGGGCAGGAACAATGGAATCATTTCACCGAGTTTGGGCCGGCGGGTTCACGACTAAACTTTTCCACTGGCCGGCCTGGGCCTGGGTCTGGGCCTGGGTCTGGGCCTGGGTCTGCAGCTGGCGATGGGCCGGCACTTGGCGCCAAGCGTGGGGCAGGCTTGGCGGGGTGCGTGCAGATGCAGTGCGCCATGGCGCCACATGGCCTGGCGCCCGGCCAAACGGAGATCGGCCCGAACTCCGAAGGCCTGCGTGTTTTGCTCCGCTGGGTTCCGCTTGTCTGACAGTCGTGGGAAGCTCGTCTCGTCTCGCCTTGCCTCGTCTCGGCGCCGACTCGGTGACGTCACGACGGCTCGCCTGGGCAGCCTGGGCCTGGGAGCATCCTGGTCCGGTCCGCACGACGTGCGTCAGTGCGGGGCGCGAAGGGGGGCGGGGCGCGGGGGGCGGGGGCGAAGGGGGGCGGGGGGCGAAGGGGGCGGGGCGCTCTCCGCGGCGCGAATCGCAGTGAAGGCAGCAAAAACACAACCGTGCGCCGCCTCAGCCTCGGCCGCAGCCTCAGCCGGCGCGCTTGAAGTTCTTGTGCGACTTGTGCGCCTGGAACAGCTCCTTGATGTAGCCCTCGCTGTAGGCCGCCGTGTTGGTGGGGCTGCAGCGGTCGCCCGAGCACGGCGTGGGCGGCAGCAGGTGGTTGATGCGCACGATGCAGCTGGGCCGCAGCGTCTGGGGGTGGATGCCGAAGGTGGCGGACTCGGGGCACACGTCCATGGCGCCCAGCGCGTGGCACTTGCCGTCGCCGCCCGCGTCCGTCGGCCACAGCACCATGGGCATGGCGGGGGCCTCGCCGGCCCTTACGCCGGCCTGGCCCTCCCGGTGGCAAGGGTCGCGCGCGCACTCGCCCTGGTCGGCCGTGCCGTTGGCCCTGGGCATGAGCACCTCGCCCTCGGCGCAGGGCCCGCGGTGGAACAGCGGGTGGCACGCGCCGTCGCCGCCGGCCGCCGCGTCACGCGCGTGCGGGGGCGTGCGCATGCACGAGCACTCCCCCAGGCCGAACGGGTTGGGCACCAGCAGGTTGCGGGCGTGCGGGCACAGCAGGTCGCGGTCGCGGTACCGCTGGTAGCAGCGCCCGTCGCGCGGCCACAGCACCTCGCGCTCGGCGCACGGCACGCGGGCGCACACGGGCCGCAGGCGGTCGGGGGCGCGCGCGTCCAGCACCAGCCACTCGTGGGACTTGCAGGGCCCGGTGGACAGGAGCTGGTGGCAGCGCCCGTCACCCGGGTACAGCAGCTTGAGGTCGTCCAGGCAGGCGCGCTCGGCGGCCGTCACGGCGTTGGCGCCCGGCTTGGGGCCGGGGGGCGTCTTGGGGGCCGGTGACGGCGAGGCGGGGGTCTTGCCGACGGGCCCGGCCAGCGCGCTGACGGCCATCGCCGCGGCCACCAACAACCACAACGCGGGCATGGCGTTGACACTCGGATACTGTTTACTCGATGCTTGGGCTCGGCGCTCTGCTGCTCGGCGCGGCACAGCAGCTGGACTTGGCAGCTCTCTGGCCTCGCGGTTCGCGGCTCGCGGTGGAGCGGATGCTGAATGTCGCCCGGTCTCCCCGACGGTCTGCGCACTTCTGGCCCGGCCGGCGCGGGCAGCTCACTTTGTAGACTCGGTTCGCAGCTCCGCGCTCACCCGCGAGCCCCCGGCGGCCCCCTCCTCTGGCCCCGCTGCGCCGCGCGCCCCCCGCACCCCCCGCCTGGGCGGCGGGTCCGGCGGGTCCGGCTGAGCCAAGCCGGTTGGAGACGAGCACCAGGAAGGCCGTGTCAGCCCGTCGCGGGCCTTACTGCCGCACCGCCGCACCGCCCTACCGCACCGCCAATGACTAATGCCCCCGCCGCCCCCGCTTTGCCTCGGCCTCGGCCTCGGCGGGCACGGCGCGAGAAAGCTGGCCGGTCGCCCCGGGTGCCCCGCGTGCATCGCCCCCACCACCACCTTGTTGTGGATGCGCGCCACCCTTTGACCCCGCTTGGCCGGGCCGGCCTGGCCTGCCTGGCCGGTACGCAGACCTTTCCCTCGCGTCGTGGTCTCGGTCTTGGTCTTATCCTCGCGGCCGCGCGAGCTTTCCTTTCCCCGCCCATCGCCGCCCGGCCAGTCTCAGCCTAGTCCAGCCTCAGCCCCCCACGCCGCCCTTGCAGTCCTTGCAGGTCCTTGCCTCCTGCCGACCCGACGTCCCGTTTACCTACGTGCGTACCGTCGGGCCGGCGTGCAGGATGACGTCACGGCCCGAGTCACGAATGACGTCACTGCTGCCATTGTGCGGCCGTCCCTCTCGCTCCTCTCGCCGCGCCGCCTCTCCAGGCGCCTCTCTGCGGCGCTCGCCCGAACCAAGGAATTCCCTCCTCCTTTTCCGATATTTCCGATATTTTGGGGCCGTGATCGGACCGGCGTTTCACAAGTGTGTTTGTCGCCGTCCTGCCGTGTGGAGTCGGCAGCTCGGTGGCTGACGCTGACGAGATTTGCATAGTCGGGAACAAAGTTGCTCACCCGGAACCCATCGGCGCGTCCCGGCGTCGCCGCTCGGTCGCCTCCGCGGTTGGAGGTGGAAAATTCTAGCCGCCTTTCTCTGCAAAATGCGTTTGGCGAGGCCGCGGCCTGGCGAAGCAACTGTTGGCGTCGGCGGTAAGGCGAGTCGAAGCAGGCGAGGCTCCTCGTGGTCGAGATGACGCCAGCTGCGGACGCGGCGACTGGTTTTGTCGCTTGGTCCCCGCGGCTCGAAGCGAGGCGACGCCAGGGCGATGCCAGGGCGATGCACGACGGCCCGGACTGCGACACCTCGTCGGCGCGATTCCCGCCGTTTTCACCGCGGTGGCGGGGCGGGGCGGGGCGCACGGCCTGCTTTCAAAGACCACCGGCCACCTCGCGGGGTGAACCGCGGTCAGGCGGGGTCAAACGTGGTCAACCGGGGTCAACCGGGGTGAGGCGGCCAGCGAGCGCAGATATTGGATGGGCATGCATGTCGATGTCCCGGGCGATTGGCAAGTCGTCGAAGTCAGCCCTTGCGTCGTCGCGCGCGGTGCTGCGGTGCTGCGGGGCAGAGGGAGACCCTCAAAGGCGCCATAGATCGCCTATCCAGATCCCCAGGAGATGGGCCGCGATCCCCGCGGTGCCCCGCCGGCCGCCACCCATCGCCGCCACCGGGAATACTCCACTGGGAAACGTACTCCACTTCTTCCAGGGTCGCGGTGCGCCCACAGTGTGCCAGCCGGCACGCCACTCGCGGCACGCTCGGCTCGGCGATGCTGGATGACGATTAGCGCAGCAAGGCGTGGCGCAGGCCAGGCGGACGGACAATGGAAAAACTCGTGGCTCGGGTGCAGGTGCACGCATCATTCGCGCTACTTTACTCCCAACTTTTAACCGGCGGTGTTCAAAGTGGTGTCGTTTTTCCAAAGAGTTGAATGGTGGTTTCAATTTTTTTCCCCCTCGCGTTTTGAGATTTGTTTTGATGCGTGTGAAGGCCGGACCCAACTAGGACTGAAAGATCTCCAGTGTGGCGCCCAGAGAGGACGCCTCTCTGGTGGCGCCTTGCCTCGTCGACTCGAGGCGGTCGTTCCACACTGATAGTACAGTACGTGCGTGATTCGCTCGTCAGCTACGTACTTAAATTTTTCAATGCTGTTATTGCTATTTGGCAATCGTATTGCGCGCCATTACCGGTGTAGGTACGCGGCGTTGCGCGTTGCGGCTTTGTCGGGTAATGGGCGTTATTTCCCCGGGGCGGCCCAGAGGCCCAAGAGGCCCAGCCAATCTAAGAATACCGCCAAAGCGCCGCCCGGCGCCGCCAGAGCGCAGAGCGCCCATTGCCCACCAGCAGACTGATTTCCGGACGGTGCCTCCCGGTGGCCTCGGCAGCGGAGGCAGGCGCCTTGTTTACCTATGGTGGGTTCAGCCGCCCAGCCGCGGGGCGGGCGCTGGGACGGTTCGCAGCACTGCTGGTTCTGATTTCGGCGTACCTGTGACCCCGTCCAGCCTCGCTGGGGGATGTTTGTCTTTGATTGGGTGGGCGACTTCATGTAGGCGATATGGTAACGACGACGGGGACGGGCAACGAACTGTGCCTCTCGCTATCCAAGGCCCGCGTTGGCTTGGCCGGGCTTGGCGGTGCGGGGTGGCGATCCGGCGGTAGGGTGATTGCAGCCCGTGCTTATTTCGTCGCTGTCTCTCTCGCTCTCGTGGGCCCCGCCGCCGGCGCAGGGGCGCGAGAGCGGCGGGGCGGCGAAGCAACGCAGCGCGGAATCGGTCTCCAGCGCAGCGCGGTGCCGGCCGGTCGGCCAGGCCTGCACACTGATATACTCCGAGACTCGTTTTCGTCGCTCTGTCTCCCTCGCACCTATAGGACTCGCTTTATGAGTGCGAGAGAGACGGGGCGACGGAGCAACGCAGCGCGGAATCAGTCCACTGCCTGCCGGCGGTTCGTAAATTGGGTGTTTTTGCCGCGGTGAGGCGGTGAGCCTAGGCGTGGAAGTTTGTGGCATCGGGGCGGCGCGGTGCCGGACAGTGCCGTGCCGCCGTGCCGCGCACCTGGCGTCTGCGAGGACTATTTATGGACTCCCATGGACGGCCACAGAGTTGCCACAAAATAGGCCTATCTATGGCCCCACCGAAAAAAAAGGGGTTGCAACGTAACTTTATTGAAGGTTCGTGGGAGGAGGCGCGGGCAGAGGCGGAACCCGGAACCCGTCCTTGTTCGCGAAGGTATACTGCGATGTGTGCGGGACGCGGGTTGCTTTCACCGAGTCGAGTCTTTCTGGTCGGGACCATCGGGACAGCACACTGCAAACGCATCGAGAAACGGGTTGGATTGAATCACAGGCAATGCATTTTTGTTGCACTTTCTAAATTTTATTTACTTTCGGGATGGAAAAACATAGCAGCTCTTGTTCCAAGTCGAATGAAGCTGTGTTTCGACTCTTTGAACAGGCGATGGAGTGATGGTGGGACTTCCCTTATGCTTTTGCGGTCATGAAAAACCCTCGAGCCGTACTGGGGCGAAAACAATGCGGCTGCAAGTGGCTAGCCCAGGCCCAGCCCAGGCCCAGCCCAGGCCCAGCCCAGGCCCAGCCCAGGCCCAGCCTAAGGCGGATGGCGAACACGTCGAATGCATGGCGAGTGCAGTTGGGCTGTTGGACAGTGGGGATCCCCTGGCCGCGACGCCGCGGCTTCGGCATCCCTTTTACGGCGCGCTCCCACGGGACTTCCCCGGCCGTGCTGCCATGCCGGTCACGCTAGTCTCGCCAGTCTCGAAGCCCTCCGCTCCGCGGTACTCCGCGGCCTGCACCGCGCGGTTCTTTCCTTTACAAGTGTCTGGACGCCCGGCGGGTAGGCACCTTGACGCTCCGCGGCACTGCGCTGTGCGGCGGGCTGCCTAGCCGCTCCTTACCATTACCATTACCATTACGGGCTGGACCACACATCGCCCTGGCCTTCCTGGGTGCCTTCCTCTTCCTCGGCACCGTACTCGCGGGACTGACGCCTTGGTTTTGTTTCTGTTTTTGTGGTGCAGGTACCGCAAGCCGACGCGCGGCACGCTGTCCACGCCGGAGTACCGCGCCGCGGAGATTGCCGGCTCGGCCGCGCTGGACTCCATCTCGGTGCACCGCGGGGTGGAGGACATCGAGAGGCCCAACATGTCGCGGTCCACGTCCAGCACCCTTTCGAGGTACGTACGCCACTCTGCTCGTGGCTCGGCGAAGCCTGGCCAAGCCATTCAGAGCCTATTGAGTTTCAGCACTCGAGGACTCCGATAAGACTCAACCTTGCGCCACACAGACGCGCACCCAATCACTTTCTGAGAATTTTCCGATATGTCCGTTCCATTCCAGTCTCTGGTCATTCGTAAGGCGCCCTGTGAAAAACAGCGCTCCCGATTTGACCGTCAAACCGGTTTCTAGTCCTGATGCTCACCGTGAGTCGAGATTTGATGGCATTTGGTTTTTGCCTCTAAAACTCACGTGGCGAGTGTGTTGGTTTACCATTAAATGGTTGCATGCCGTTTTTTAACTGCTTGAGTCAAGACTTCTTGGTGTTCAAAAATTGTGTTGCAGTCCCGGTTTGCTCATCCTTTTCTTTTCATGAATAAGCATATCTTGCTTGTCTGTGTGATTGAACCTTACTTTCGTCCCACTAACTGATAAATCACGTTTGGAGATTGATTGATCTTGTGCCTTTTTTGTGAAGTGTTTTATTTTAATGACATATCTTGGATCATAAAGTACACCCATAATCTCTGAAAATTTACATTATCATTATTATTTTCAGATGGCTCGTTGGTCGGAGTAACAAAGCACAATCTACACGTCTCCTAGATCAGGCTGATGATATGGATGACTTGGACCCTGTCGTAGGAATTGCTGGCTACAGTCCAAGGGCTAAATTCCAAGATCCCAACCAAATTACTATTTTGTAGAACTACTCTTGTCTCAATTCATGAAAGACCCCTCTAAACCATTTCTCAGTTTGTTTGAGATGCATGACGATTGTTGGTTATTTGAAGTCATATTAAGACTGTATTTCCCCATGATTCCATGTGATAGCCTAATTTTGGCCTTATGTCAAAAAATAAAATACTTATAATATTGAGACTTACAAATTTAGCATTTTGCTCTAGCTGTTTTTTCTTTCCTTTTTAACCTTTATAAGCTAGATTGTGATTTGTATTTAACATTTTTATGAAATTATTACTGTAATTTAATATGTGCTGTGAGAGGAACATAATCACCGAAAAAGTGAAAGCTGTTTAAGAGTTATTATAATGAAAATGTTCGGTTAGTATCAGTGTTTGTACAGTTTTTACCTGATGCTATGTCTTATTTGAAAGTTTGAGTTTGTCTTTTACTTGTTATGAAAACCATTTTTCAGACTGTGTACAACTTGTTCCAAGCGCTTTCATTCATTTTCATTATTGATTCAGTGGCAAATGTGATAGTCAAAATAATCCAGTCTCAATTACCCTTGTTCGGTTACAAGTATCCTAACAGTATTTACAAGTACTTTATGGCTCATTTAAGGGAGCCTTTGTACATGTACAATGCTTCATAAGATCGATTCTTCACATATTTTTAATGCTAGTATCCCACTCCTGAGGTGCATCATTTTTCCCCGGTTTGTTGACATTGGAGCTGACCCAAGACTTTTACTGTTTCAGCTCTGCAAATCATTCTCAAGTGCCTAATATTATGTATAACTGTTTTTTACCTACAATAAATATTATTCTTCTTGTTAAATGAACTGGATTGTCTTCTTTAGTTTATTTTGTAGCTCATAACTGAGGACATCTTGAAAAGGTCACACAAAGTCAAAAATTACAAGAAGTTGACTTATTTATATTTTTAATTTGAGTCTTCCTTTCACCTGATCAGGTAACATAGAACTCTCTTTTTATCACATTATTCACAAACACCTACACATCAATAGTCAGACTTTCTTAGAGTAATGCTGAAAATGCTACAGAGTCTAAAATAATAATTAAGTCAGTTCAGATACAAGAAACACTCAACATACAATTGACAAACATTTGAAAACGACAACACAACAAACAACTTTTAAAAATAACAAGGATGTGCAAAAGTAATAACAATGTTCATAATTTTTGTTCTTTGATTTTTTTATGTGCACTTAAAATTGAGAGAAAGCAGTACATTCACATTTGATCATGCGAGTTATGCTCCAAGGAAAAAAATGATCTCAATACACCAGTAGAATGTGAAAGCTTAAGCAGTGGAGTCGACAGATTTTGTTCAACAAATTATAATATCAAAAATAACAATCACATCAGTGAAGCACAATGCCAAAATGGAATGGGTTTTTAAAAACTAAAGAAAAACCAGAAATAATTGTTCACAGCAAAGATAATTGTTGGCACTTCTTTGAAGTCTCAGTTCAAGTCAAAGTTCCCAGAACTTAAATATTTGAGGTATGCATTTGCATTGTTTAAGTACCAATACTTCAGAACATGCTGACATAAGTCCTTAAATTGCTAACAAACAAAAATAAATACTGTACTGAAAGTTTTGCATTGCTTACATAGACACAAATGCAAATGGAATTATTAATTTTTATAACTAGATCACTTTCGGACGGCACCTATTTCAATACTGTTTTCAATGAATAAGTTAACTGTACAGAAAAAAAGGCAAGACATCATTGAGAGGGGGAAAAAATGGAGTTCAAGCTCGAGGACGGGCATTTTTGATTTCAAAGAGCTTCCTTACAAAGTATACTTGTAACGTGGATGTTGCTATAATGATGGTAATTTGAACTAACGACCAATTGAGAATATAAGAATGGTTGTCCTCTAAGAGATTGAAGTCTCGAGCTTCTTTTCCACGGCTATGGTGTTGAAACTGAAGCATTTCATTGATGTTCTTTTCAACTCCAATGATAGCTTCCTGCAACCAAAACAGGTCAATATTAAGCTGAGTTAATAATCAACAAACAAGGAGCATTGCAATGAGAACAAAGTCAACAGTCATAAAAAGGCCTCATTAACTTACAGTGAAGTTCTCCACACTCAGGTTTAATTCCTCCAGCTCCTTGGTGTATTTGTCCCATTGGTCATAACTAGAAAAAGAAAAGACAAAAATAGAAGTCTTCTTCTTTTGCATGAGCATTAGAACCAGTAATAATGAGAAAAACTTTTACCGTATAACTGTTATGTAAAGATTCACCAGCTTAGCTGCGAATCGAGAAAATTGATTGTCTATGCAAACACTGTAATATCCTCCGGCAGACTGCTGGTCTTGGTAGTCAGAGTTTGGACGCCATTGGTAAGGATGGACAATCTGTCCATTTGGATGCCTCACAGCAAATCCAGCATTTCCATCACCACCTCGCAAAACCTGCCAGGAGATGAAAAGAGAAAACATGCTGTTAATTTTCATGACCATAGGCAAACCATAGGCGTACAGAATCAACAGGTTTCCACATTCAATACACATAGGATTAATACGGAAGCATAGACAGAAACAAAACAAAATAATACAAAGAATTTTATTAATAGAAACACAGAGAACTCGCCGGTAAAGAAACAACCATAAAATGAACTGCTATGAAAACAGCAAAGTAGGTATGTACCGTTAACAAAGATTACCAATGAATGTAATCATGCGCTATTCTTTCCAACATCTCACACAAGCTTAGGCATTCACTAACACGAAAGGGTCATACAGCTTGTGTTTGAAATCGGGACTAAAAAAACTGTCAGAAAATAAAGACAACATATGTGGCCCTTACCTGAAAGCTGACATAAAAGGTGGCACCTGGGTTTACGTACTGGAAATAACAGTCTTCCTTCCCGGGGTCAATGTGAACTTTATAATCCATGGCAACTGCCGGTAACGACTCGTACCATGGCACGGCAGTTTCGGGAAGGGAATAGCTACAAAGGCCTAAAAAGATCAAAAATGACAGAAAAGACGTGGCATATCGAGGCGCCATGGTGTTGTGTTTGTGTTATGAGAGGGGGAGCAGCCGAAGCGGTCGACGGCCGAGTGAAAGGGAAGTCAAGCAGATATAAACCGGATATGCGGGGCCGGCGGATGGGCACAGGTGCGATGCAGACGCCTCCTCGTTGAAAGCCTAGGAGGCGTGTTAAAATTTTTGTAAAATTTCTTTGATGTTATGTTTTTGGATGAAAAGCAATATTAGCAAATGAACTTGAAACTGTCATCTTCCTCTTCCTCCGGTTAGCCCGTTTAGCGGCAGCGCGCACCCTGCCCCCACCCACTCCTCATCCCCTCACCCCCCTCGCCTGCCTTTCGCCTTTCCCCTTCGAAGGAAAGATGCAACCCAACCCAAACCAGGTTAGGTCTCAATAGAAACAGACGACGACGGAGTGGACATGGCAAATGAAGAATTGGAAATATTTGACAGTTGGGAAGAAATGGATGACTCCGAGGTTTGTGCCATCAGGTTACTACTCATAGTAATATTTTGGAAGTTTGTCCCCTGTCTTCAAAACTTTTGCATGAGTTTTCTGTTTTCTCTAGCGTAACCTCAAATTCGTCTCCAGGACCAACAGTGAACTGTTTACATTCCAAAACTCTTATTGACCTATTTAAACGGAGTTGTAATTGTTGTGTGCAATCAGTTATGCTCAGTTGTCTCATTATATGATGTACTCAGATCCAGAGCTTTATCAACTCATGCCATTCCCCTCTGTTCCAATTTCAGAACAATTTCTGTACTATTAAGTTTAATTTACAGTTTTGTTCTAGTCTTTTCGAGCCTCCATGCTAAGTGCACATTTTTTTGTCACTGTTGATTTTAAAAATATATTTTAACATTCTATTTTGCAGGTGTTAGAAAGAAAACTACAGAACCTCAAACTTCCGCCCACTGATAATTGTCGAATAAAGAGGTAACTATAAGATGAAATTGGTGTTTTCCCTATTGTGTTTACTACTATTTAATGAAACATTTCCTTTTTTTCTTGAAATTCAGAGATATCAGTGATCAACCTGCATCTAGAGGTGTGATTTTAATGGGTGATGATGCTTACCGGACTCAATACACTTCGCCTGAGCCCACAGTTAAAATTTTAAAGCGACCAACTCAAAACTCAAATGGGGGAGGAGATGGACCTTTCATGAATGGTGAAAACAAGCCTAGTAAACAACCTATAAAAACTCTGCAGCAGGTCAGTCATTTTCTCACTGGTCATTTATCAATGAAAAACTTTCTCTCATCTCTGATCTGTCTTCATAATTGCAATTCCAGCGAGAACAAGAATATGCTCAAGCTAGGTTACGAATATTGGGAGAAGCCAGAAGTCCCGAAGAAATTGTTGAGGATCGGTAAGTTACGTTATTCGAAATTTTATCAACTACTCCATTTCACTAAAATAATAATCCTGTTACTACAACAGAACAGTTTTATGTCGACCCAGTTGTCCTTGCCACTACTTGCCTCTTTTTGTGACTAATATGGTCATTCTCATTATTGTCCGCTCATTTTTATTTTTTAGAATGAACAAGATCCATGCTAAAGTTGAAGTACTTCGATCCTCAGAAACAGAAAATATTATAAGACTTCCTCGGGGGCCTGATGGAACAAAAGGCTTCAATGTACCTCGGTAGTGACTTCGTGCCCAGCCAGCTCTACATCCTGGAGCTGAGGCTGCAACCAAATGAAAATTTAACGGACAATTTTGTACAATCATTGTGTGTTATATTTTCTGTGAAAAGTGAAGAGTGAGTGTAAATGTGCAAATTATTGTGTTGAGAGTTTATATACATATATATGTGTTATAAAGAGAAAGCATTTAAAGGTATTTTTCACAAACCTTGATTCAAAATGCTGATTCATGCCTATTTTTTTCTTGCCATTTAATGTTTGCAAGAAATGTGACCGTTATTTATGGACCTGTGACGCTTGGTAGTTGTTTGGAGTTGTTCTTGTTTTCAAGAACTAGCAATTGTTTCTGTTACTACTTTTCTACCAGTCCCTTCACTGTGTCACATTTTTCCTGTTTTGATCCATAAATGTATGGTTCACCATAACCTCCTCCTATTACTCAATTTTGCTTCAATTTTTCATTCTCTGTAAATGTTAATCAAAATAAATGAGGGATAGTTGTTTTTATTCAAACAAACTCTGTTATAATTGTTGTATTATTCTTCTCAACTTGAGGTAGGCCTAAGTGAAAGAGCTGAAATTATGGGTACTTTTTTGCGCTTCAAAAGGAAACAGAACTGGATGACGGTAAAAGAGAACTTTATGTTGAAGACCAAAGAAAACACAACATTTTTATTGTTTTGTTTTAGCGAATAAGTACTCATGGTTGAAGGAACTTCACTCGGGCCTTTCCATTCTTGTGGCACTTCGTTTTAAGTCACTTTTTTTGTTCTACTTGGTTCAAAACCGAGTGTAGTGGGTAGTTAAGGCTATAAAACATTTTATTCTATTGAGTTAAAGGTAAATGAAGTGATTGTCAATCAACATAGCTCGAATGCAGCAAAATGTAGTTTTGAAATTGTGACTTTATATTGATTCATGAGCAGCATCTTTATCTTTTTTAAAAAGACAAACCAAAAATTTGTTACAGAATGAGAAACGTGCATTTGGGTCTCAAAGTCTTCACAAGTATATTATATATAAATTATATTATGAATATTGATGTTAATAGGCAAAATGCATAACCAACTGATTTTTCTACATCTGTAAATATCGTTTATCAGGCTCGACTGTTACAGTGCCATAAAGTGTACATTTTCTTGGGATTGAATCTGTGATGTTTTTAAAATAGTTGATTGTGAAATCTTAGAGACATTCAATAAAATAATTTGTAAAGTACAGCTCTGGTAACTCAGCAATTAGGACATTGGCAATTTCAAGTTGATCAGGGAAAAATGGATGACTCCTTTCCATTACCAACAGTAGTTAAATACCGACCAAAACCTTTCATATCATCTGCACAGTTCTGCAGACCTATGTGGCAATGGTCCGTGGCAAAATCATTGATTTACTTGCAAGTGGACTTATTGAGAGAACACTTCCTCATGCTCATTTCCATATGTGTGAGGACCAATGCGTTACAGTATTCATTCTCATAATAATGTATCCAAAATGCACTGGAATAATAATAGCAAGGAATCAGTAAAATTCACCATTTTTTTGATCCAAGAAAATAAAAATCTACTTTTAAAATGCGCAGTAACCTTTCTCTCTGGCCCTTGAAGCTGGTCCGATATAACTCACAATCCAGGAGAAAGTGTCAATCTGAAGTGGAAAATGGCGCCTGGGTAGGCAGCAACTTGGTTTGGGACACCGGAGCGTGGCGGGCCTGCCTACCAGCCAGGCGCCAGGTAGGCAGCAACTTGGTTTGGGACACCGGAGCGTGGCGGGCCTGTCTACCAGCAAGGCGGGAAATCTTTTTCAGCTATGGAGCCGCACGTGTCATCACCAGGCCAGTCAGTGCATTTCCCTCGAAAACAAGCGCCGAAAGTCGGGGCACGGAAGTCGAAGTGTTCGGCCCGTGTATGCGCTCCTTGATAGCGCGGTTTTCTGGAAGGGTGTTCGTGTCGAAGGCTCGCTCTGGGCCCCGGCTGTGCGGCTGGCCGTGCTGGCCGTGCTTGTCGAGGTACAGCGTGGACCGTGACGGGACGTGTCCTGGGATTAGTCATCGACTGCCTACAAAACGGAGTCCCGCTGCAGTGTGCGGCCAGTCCGTGCTTCTCCCGTGCTTCGCCATGCCACGCTTGTGCTGCGCGGCGGCCCTGGTGCTCGCCTTGGCGGTCGTGCCCCACTGGCCCCACGCCGCGGCACAGCTGCTACCCGACATCAGCCTGCGCCAGGAGGGTGGCTTCGGCCAGGGTGGCCTCGGCCTCGGCCTAAACGGAGGCGGCGGCGGCATGGGGTTGCCGCGGTTGCCGCTACCCCAGCTCGGCGACCTGTTCGGCGGAAGCGGCGGCGGCCGCAGGAGCCACCAGTCGAGCTACAGCAGCTACCAGTCCGGCGGCGGCCAGCGCGGCCAGTTCGGCGGACTTCCCCAGTTCACCGGGATCGGCGGAGGGCCGTCGTCGTCAAGGTTCGAGTACAACAGCGGAGGACTCCCCCAGTTCCCCGACGGACGATTCCCCCAGTTTCCTGGATCCAACAACGGCGGCAACGGCCAGTCCTCATACTCGAGGTATGAATACTCGAGCGGCGGACGTCACCAGCAGCTACCCGGACTCGGGGGCGAGCAGTCGTCTTCGAACCAAGAATATGGCAGCGGAGGACAATCGCCGTTCCCCGACTTTGGCGGACTGTTTTCGTTTTCAAACTACGGACAGGGCAGCGGCCGTCAACCATTCCCCGGCTTCCCCGGCTTCGGAGGTCAGTCTTCAAAGTATGACGAATACACCAGCGGAGGACAGCCACAGTTGCCAGGTTTCGGTGGACAGTCTTCGTCTTCGAATTATCACGAATACACCAACGGAGGAGAGCCTCACTTGCCAGGTTTCGACGGACAGTCTTCGTCTTCAAAGTACGAACAGACCAGCGGCCGTCAAAACTTGCCCGGCATCGGAGGTCAGTCTTCAAAGTACGACGAATACACCAGCGGAGGACAGCCACATTTACCAGGTTTCGGTGGACAGTCTTCGTCTTCGAAGTATGAACAGACCAGCGGCCGTCAAAATTTCCCGGACGTCGGGGGTCAGTCTTCAAAGTATGACGAATTCACCAACGGAGGACATCCTCAGTTACCCGGTTACGGTGGACAGTCTTCGTCTTCACAGTTTGACAGCATCAAGGATGGCCAACACCAGTTCCCCGGCACAAGTGGACAGTCTTCGTATTCAAAGTACGAGCACAGTAACGGAGGGCAACCTAATTTCCCCGGTTTCGGCGGACAACAGCATCAACAGTATCCCGGATTTGACGGACAGTCATACCAGCACCCCAGTGGACCGTTCCCGGGCTTCGGCGGACAGCCTGGCGCCTCCAACCCCTTTGGCTCTCTCGGCCTGGACAGCCTGCTGAAACAGCTGTTCCCGCAGCTGGACTTGAGCAAAACCACGTCACCCCTCAAGATCCTGGAGTCCATGTTCCCGCACTTCAACCCCGCGCAGCTGCAGCAGGGCCTGAGGGCCATCCCGGGCCTCGACACCCAGGCCATGATGAACCCCTTGGAGTTCTTGTCCAAAATCTTCGGCCAGAAGCAGGACATTATCAGCCCGTTCAACTTCCTGGACAAGATGAAGTCCATGTTCAACGCTGACTCCCTGAAGGACCTGTTCCCGCACCTGGACTTGCAGCAGACGCTGGCACCCATCATCGCGGCCTGGAAGAAGGCCTTGCTGATGCCGCTCGAATTTTTGTCCAAATTCTGGTCGAAGTTGGGTTCCGACGAGTCCACCGACGTGCTCAAGCAAATTTCCAAGCAGCTGGAAAGCATCCAGCACGCCCTGCCCGTCTCGCCCAAGCACTTCCTGGACATGGCCGAGCCGTTCCTGAAGCAGTTCCAGAGCGTCATGCCCCAGGGAGGACTGCCCGCCATGCCCTTCGACCCGCGGCACTTCATGGGTCTCCTCAAGCCCTTCATGGACCTAATTCCGGGAGGCCAGGCACACGGGGACTCGCTCTTCGGAGGCCACTCTGGAGCAGGACGTCAAGAACAACAGCTTGGTCACGACGGGCACCGCGGGCAGGGTGCACTTGCACTTCACCAGGGAGGTTTGGGCCAAAGCGGTTTATCAGGTTTTGGAGGACAAGCGGGACAAAATCAGGAGGGGGGAAGCAAGGGAAACGGGCAGGGTCATAACGGACAGTTCGGGTTCAACGCGCAGAGTGGTTTTGGTGGCCAGGGACAGAAGGGAGGTGAAGGCTTGGGAGGTCACCAGGGTCAAAAGGAAGGCCATAACGGACAATTTGGGTTCGACGCTCAGAGTGGATTCGGTGGTAAGGGTCACAAGGGAAGTGAAGGTTTCGGAGGCTTGGGAGGTCACGAGGGTGAAAAGGGAGGCCATAACGGACAATTTGGGTTCGACGCCCAGAGTGGTTTCGGTGGTAAGGGTCAAAAGGGAAGTGAAGGTTTCGGAGGCTTGGGAGGTCACGAGGGTGAAAAGGGAGGCCATAACGGACAATTTGGGTTCGACGCGCAGAGTGGTTTTGGTCAGGGACAGACGGGAGGTGAAGGTTTAGGAGGCCACCTGGGTCAAAAGGGAAGCCAGAACGGACAATTTGGGTACGACGCCCAGAGTGGTTTTGGTCAGGGACAGAAGGGAGGTGAAGGTTTAGGAGGCTTGGGAGGTCACCTGGGTCAAACGGGAGGCCAGAACGGGCAATTTGGGTTCGACGCCCAGAGTGGTTTTGGTGGTAAGGTTCAAAAGGGAAGAGAAGGTTTAGGAGGCTCGGGAGGTCTTCTGGGTCTGGGTCAAAATGGAGGCCATAACGGTCAATTTGGGTTCGACGCCCAGAGTGGTTTTGGTGGTAAGGGTCAAAAGGGAAGTGAAGGTTTAGGAGGCTTGGGAGGTCTTCTGAGTCTGGGTCAAAAGGGAGGCCATAACGGACAATTTGGGCTCGACGCCCAGAGTGGTTTTGATGGTCAGGGACACCAGGGAAACGAAGGTTTAGGCGGCTTGGGAGGTCTTCTGAGTCTGGGTCAAAAAGAAGGCCATAACGGACAATTTGGGTTCGACGCCCAGAGTGGTTATGGTGGTCAGGGACACAAGGGAAGCGAAGGTTTAGGTGGCTTGGGAGGTCTTCAAGGAGGTCATAACGGACAATTTGGCCTCGAGGCTCAGGGTGGTCAGGGACATGGTCTAGGAGGCCAGGAGCAGAAGGGAAAGGGAGGACTAGGAGCTTCTGGTGGTCTTCTAGGTCAACAAGGTCATAACGGGCAGCTTGGGTTCGAGGCCCAGAGTGGTTTTGGGGGTGATGGCGAGGGACTTGAAAGAAAGAAGGGCAATATAGAAGATTTAAGTGGTCGCCTGGGCCAACGCGGTCAAGCGGGCTATAACGGACAATCTGGGCTCGAAGGTCATGGTGGCCTTGGAGGGCTCTCGCTGGGCGCTCGTGGAGGACAAGGCGGTGAACTTGGAGGGCAGGTACGGGAAGCAGGTGAGGGCGCCTTGGGAGGCGAGCGTCAGGGTCGTGGCAGCGGTGGCTTCGAATGGCAGGGCGGTCTCGGCCAAGGCCTCGGCCTCGGCGGACAAGACCAAAGCGAAGGCCGTGGCCAGGGAGGCCTCAATCTTGGAGGCAGTCTCGGAGGGTCAAGCCGCGGGGGTGGGGGTGGAGGCTTGGGGTTGGGCGGCGCGGGCGGCACTGGGGGGTCAGCAGGGTTCCGGGGTGGTTTCAGCGGCACCGGCGGCTCTGCCGGCTTAAGTCTCGGCCTGCCTTCTACTCGAGAACTACCTGAAAGCCGTTTGTAAAGCCATTTGTAAAAATGATAATTTTTTAAAAATACATCCGACATTTAAACCAAATCCACCTGTATTCATTTGATGTCAACCCCATTATAGACCTTTACATTCTTCATGTGTCAAAAGCACAAGGTATTTAAATTAAAATAAAATATGTATGTGTATCAAAATACTCTTTATAAACAGAAGATTCACAGGGTCTGACAAAATGCAGTGAGGGTAGCAGTGTGATTTCATTCCACCTGAAGAGTATACCAAACAGACTGATACACCAAACAAAGATGAATAAAACTATAATTTCCCCTGACACATAAGATTTACAACACTATCAGCGCTTCACAAATTATAAAAGTTGTAAGCAACTGGCAAGAAAAAGAATCTTGATATTGAAAAGAATTGATTTTGTTTCTGGGGGCAAATTAAATCAACACATAGCAAAATAACAAAGCATAACAAGTTGATGAAACAAGCAGCAGTTATAAAGAAAAACAGCTGGAATCAACATTATATACAAACCAAACATCTAATTAAATCACCAGTTGAGGTCACAATAACAGAAGTAAAAAAAATGTAACATAAAACAGACATAACAAAAAAGTTAATAGAAGTTCTTGTACACTTTGGCACCTATTTGTAAATTAGTGTACTAAAAGAGAATGTATTATATTAATCCAAGAGGGATACAATATTCCATGATGTGAAGACAATTAACTAAGGAGGTAACTGAATAACTGATAATCAAGAAGGAGTTTGAAGGTACAAAACCAATAACACCATCAGAATTTGATATCACTAACCGAAAGCAAATCAAAGTGCACTCACATGTCCCACTATAAAATTTAAAATTATGGATTAATGGAGCCCATTGAGTGAATCTTGCTTTCAAGAAATGAGTGATGTTGACAGAAACAATAACAAGTACATAATTGAAGCAGGGCAAATCTTACACATGAAAAAAGACAGTCACAAAGAGGAAAACTATTCTAATAAAATGTTGGCAAACACTGTCACTGCCTCAGACGATTCCCCCTGTATCACAGCCTACATAAGAAACCAGCAAAATTAAACACTACGAGATTATCCTTTCAGTCAGAGAATACCAAATCTGTTGCGAGTGTTCACAGTTCATGGAGAGATTTGTTCCTCAAGAAACCTAAGATTTTAAAATTTGAGACACAGATCTTTTTCACATTGGCATGCTTAGCAGAATACAGGAGACAAAAATTTAAACCCAATTCAGCAGGCAAGATGTGGGGTACATTCAATCCACTAACCCAAGATAACAAAATGAAGGCTGATAGCAACTGCTTTATACTGATCCAGATTAAAGTATTTTTTTTTTGTTACAAGTTTTACATGGATACAATTTTATCAACTTATTTGGAAAGCTTTATTGGAAAATGGGCCTAAACAAGATTAGTGCATGATATGACTTTATATTTCCCAAACATTTAAAATCAAAGCGCATTAAATTTAAAAAGCATAAATAGCAAAAATTTATTAAAGGTCCAAAAGCATGCTCTGGGCAGATTACAAAATAATTTCTTTGGCTGATTAAAATGTTGTGTTTCAGATACTGTACATAAAATATATACCTGGCACTATTGATACAGAATAAGCTTCTCTTTGGAATAAGGTTGAATTTCACTGGGGAGAGTCTTTAGTATTTTGAAACCACCCACAGAGAGGCACATGAACAATGCAAGTAGTCAAGCACTACCGACTAACAGCACTTTGCACACCCACATGTGTATCATTGTACAGTAAACTACCTCCACTATTCACGCGCAACATTTCTACTCCACCAGCTTCCTGCAAAAGAAAATCAACGTTTCAATGAAACTCTCATATTTCAGGGAGCAGTCCTTGCAGTGGAGGCAATACTCACAGCAAGCCATGGATGATCAAGGACATCTTCAGCAGAGAGGCGCAGCTCAGGGATTGGCTGTAGCATGTGGGCTACAAGGTCCTTAGCACTGTCTGAAATATCATCCCAGTATGGAGATGTGAAAGCAAACCGAGCAGCCAAGATACGAGTGAACAGCTCTTCTTGGTCATTAGTTGCGCTAACAAAAGGAGGGAAGCCGCAGAGTAGTATATATAGGATGACCCCTGCTGCCCATACATCTATCTATGAGGAGAAAACAAAGAGTTAAAAGAAAGAACTATGAATAAAGTACAGTAGCACAAACCTGTAGAGCCAAACATACCTTGAGCCCATAGCCAGTTTCTGCAAGGATTTCAGGTGCCACATAAGTTGGTGTACCACAAACAGAAAATAAGGGTTCTGTGACTTTCTGAGCAAGGCCGAAATCTCCAACTTTCAACGTGTGAACTCCATGACAATCAACTTCAACCTGAGAGAAAAACATGGTACATATATTGAATAAAGTCTTCAAGACACTAAAAAGATTACACGGAGTTTGTAATACAGTAATTCTGCGCACCAATAAGTTCTCAGGCTTGATGTCACGATGAACTATGGATAGAGAATGCAGATAACACAATGCAGCTGCCAAATTACGGATCATAAAACTTGAATCCCATTCATTAAATTTCGTAGCAGATGCTATAGCATCAAAGAGATCACCACCCTGTAAATGCAACAAAATACGCAGACAGTCAATGGAAGTGGGTTGCATAGCAAAACAATATAATAAATAAGTAAGTTCAATAAACCAATACTGTAAAAAGATTCCAAATTTTAACAAACCTTGACAAGCTCCATCACAAGATACAGTTGCTCTGGCTCATCATGTTCTGCAAACAACCGGACAATATTTGGATGACGAACCTTACGCAGGATATCAACTTCACTTTCAATCATATGCTCTTTCCCTCGACATTTTGATTTGTCAATAATTTTCAGAGCAAACTCACGGCCTGAAGATCTGATAAAAGAAAATAGCAAGTCATAGAAAATCATGGAACAAAATTTTGTTTTAAAAGTCAGCAATAATAGAAAATTCCTACATCACACTTACCGGTCTATACACCGCCTAACTTGAGCAAAATTTCCATCTCCTATATTTTCACATACTTGATACTTTTGGTTGAGTGCAGAGGGGATATTAGGATCAGTCACACCAGACAAGGTTTGAGAATGAGATTTGGAAGCTTTGGTTTTAACAGGCATTTTTGGCATAACTCCACCTATAAATTTATCAAATGTTGAATGAAGACTGCTTTAAGCTTGTCAAACAAATAAAACTACATCAAATTAGCTAACCTGGCATTGAAACTCGTGCATTACTTCCACCTTTCCTTTGAGCCTGAATTGACTTGCATTCTGTAACAGATAAGAGTCAGAATCATGTTTTAAATAAATCTTATGCTGAAAGAGAAGAAGGTATCACACATAATAAATCTTACACTCACCTTCTTCATCTAGTTCAAAATCATCTTGAGCATAACGTTCTGATCCATACACAAAAAACACATCATCTTCTCCAAAAAATTCCTCAAATGAAGTCAGCTATAATAAAGATTCACAAGAGTTAAAAAGATAAGCACATTAAGCACACTGAGAAAAGACAATTAACAGATACACAAATTCATACCTGGTTACCCAACTGATTGAAAACTTTTCTAGCAGCTCCAGTGTCTAGCTTGACAGCCTCGGTGATGCAGGATAAAACATGATCCATGGAGGGGGCGTTTCTACGATTTATTAGCAGTCGCACTACCTTGCGGGGTCTTGTACCATTCCGAACTAAAGTTAATATACGAGGACGAACAAATTCTGGAATACCACTGCGCGAAGTGCCAGATCTTGGCCTATCTCCTCCATTGCTAGCACTACAGAAAAGGAAAGAGAAATGACTTGAAAAAATGAATGAGCGCACAACTTGAGATCTGACTGAAACATTAACTTACCCAGCATTTGGCTTTTTCTTTCCTAAAGTTCCATTGTTATTTGAGTAATCAACACGTTTAAAAGTTTCACCAGGACCAGAGCAAAGGTATTCTTTCCCGTCATCTAGCTGGTCAATAGAGCAGACCTTGCGGCCGTCCATGGTGTAGATTGTTCGAACTCCACATGGCAATGTTACACTGTGCTCTAATGCCCTAGTGAGATCAGAGAGTAAGCTGTCAAAAGAACGGTACCTGCAAGAGAGGACGATAATGAACAAAATTATCAGAACACACTGTAACAAGTTTATCTTTCCCGATCAGCACTGGTTTACTTGCCTCTCAGCAGCTACAGGCATGACAACACCTTTAAAAAAACGATCACCATTTCTTAAGAAGCGAATTCTTTTTGCTTTCTTTGCTTGGTTTCGGGCAACTGACGGTCTAGATGACAAATTTTCTTTGTAATCATCTTCCTCCAGCTCTTCAACTGTATCATTAAATGTGATGTGTGTTTCCATTGCATTAGATCCATCAGATGATGCCGCATCTTCTACTGGTTCTTCCATTGGGATAGCTGAAGGAGATGGTGGAATTGTTACGGTGTTTGACATCTTTCTTGAGCTGCAACAGGAAAATTGAACGCATTAAAATTAAGTAGCTTCTGGATAAATGCAATTTGTGAAATAAATTCAGTAAATGATATGAATAAAGTGATGGAGGTACTGCTTGTAATCAGGCCACTTACATAACGTCAGAATTTTAATTGTCTCAGGTACTAAAAGAATTTTCCTGAAGAGAGGAAAACAGTTTCATGGAATGAAACAATAGGAAGGGATCTGACAAAGTTTAATAAGTAAATGAGACTAAAATTTTGTCTTCTGACAGCTAAGTGTGTCACAGGCAAAGTGATTTATGGAGAAGGGAATAGTAACAGTGGGGAACAATTACTCTCACATCTTAAGTGGTCCGTGAGAAAACCAACGTAAAACGATTGGAGATCTGCGTGAGGGTTGTGTAGAGGATCACAACAAATCTGGATGGCTGTCATTGCCAGAGGTTAGGGGCAGGAACAAGGTCCCCGCTTTGGTTATCAACACCACAACATCTGACCTGCCTTCTTCAATCCTCAAGATTCGAAACAAAAGCTTTAAAACAATCAATACCAGAAAAATTCAAACTTATTTGAATTTGCACGAGACAAAATAATGTTTACTAAGTTGGTTGTACAGAAAATTGTGCTGCACTAGCCGGGTGACTTTACCTTCAAGGGAGGTTCGATCAGATCAAATATATAAAATCAGCGTCGAAGCTTAGGTTCGAATCCCTCACATTTTCTTTCCACTCCTAGTACTAAATGAATTAAACAGAAACAGAATCACTGGGCGTTCCCAGTCCCAGCACAGCCCCCATCGGAAAGTGGAGTGGGGAGGGGAGAAGGGAGAGGGAGGGAGGAGAGCGGGAGAGGGGAGGGAGGAGAGCGTGCACAGTTTTTGGCAGGCATTGTATGAGAAATTGGTCGAGGGACTTCCACGGAAACGGAAAGTTAGAAGGAAGGCAGACACAGAGACATGGGCCGAACAGGTCTCCCACCAAACAAAGAAAACGCCCCCAGAAAAGAAAGAAACAAAGTCCAAATGGGAGTGACGACGTGGAGTGAGTTCCATTTAGTTCCATTCGGACAGATCGCGTTTGTACAGTTCGACGACCGCGTCTTTGATCTGCGACCCAAAGAGAAATGGGCATGGAATCGATGCCGAATCCTCAAATTGGCGTTGGTTCGGTGTCGATTCAATTCGTTTCGCTCTGGGCAATGAACGTATGCGTGTGCCTCAGACAATAGGAAGGTCAAATCAGCTACGATTGGTTACGATTCCATTGTTTCATTTATTTTTTTATTTTTTGACAAACTCAGTTTACCGTAGGCCTACGGTGGCAAGTGTCATCGCACTACAAATAAAAACCCAGAGAAATTTATTTTCCAGCTTTTATTGTGAACAACCCAGCAATTATAAATTTGTAAGTGAACATTTTAGAATAAATCCTCAAAATATTGTTAGTCTGCGCTGATTGTCCCTGAGATCCTGCAGTTAGTCTATGTACAGCGGCATTCGTTCGATGTTTGCTTGATTCGGAGCCTCGTCTCTCCCCGCCCCCCGTCAGCGCCATGTCTCAGCCCCGCAGCAGAAAGCCGGCGAAAAAAAATCCGACTAATTTCTACGAATTCTGGTTCATGTGGTTGTGCGCAGCATCTGCAGGAAGAGGGACTTGCGGGGCACCTGCAGTCGCGCCCGCGAAATGCCAATTTCGCGCAATTTCGAGTAATCGATTCGAGGCTTCATCAGGGAACGTTAAATTTCCTTCTAATTTGGCTCTAACGATGACTGGTGACCTCATCAGCTGCACGCCGTCGCCGGCTGCGCCTGCGGCCTGAGCCCGGCCACCCTGGAGAGGAACTTGACGCGGACGCCGCCGCGCAGCCCCGACGTGATGTTGTACGTCATGTCGTCGGTCAGGGTCTGGGCGCTCTTGTGGTGGTCGTCGACGGGGTGCACCGAGTAGGTCCTGAGCGCGGTGGCGAGGAAGGTGACCATGAGCTGCATGGCGTACGTGCCGCCGATGCAGTTCCGGCTGCCCGCGCTGAACGGGATGTACGCGTAGGGGTGCCGGTCCTTGGCGATGTCGGGCAGGAAGCGGTCCGGGTCGAAGATGCCGGGGTCCTTCCAGTAGCGCGGGTCTCGGTGGATGCTGAAGATGTTGATGGCCAGCGTGGTGCCGGCCGCCACCTGGTGGCCCCAGATCTCCGTGTTGTTGTAGCACTGGCGCGCGATGAAGGGCACGGGTGGGTACATGCGCAGCACTTCCTTGAAGAAGCGCTCCATGTACTTGAGCCTGCAAGCAGAGAGAGTGACGTTTTAGAAACGCTGTTCGGGCGAGTTCAGGGCAGGTATTCCGTACAGTGGGCAAGCCAGACTGCAGGGAGGGTGCGGCAACGGCAACGCGGGCGCCACGGAGGAGTGCACGTGCACGCGGAGCGCCTGGCGCGTAGGCAACCAATCGGGCGCCTCGCGCGCCGCGCCACTAGAAGACAAGACGAACGAGGTGCCACTCGCTACACGTCCAGTCCGCACGTCCACACGTCACACGATGCGCACGAGGTGTCGGCCGGAGCGCACTTGCTCTGCTTCTCCTCCCGTGACGCGAAGCGCGAAGCACGCGAAGCTCGCGAAGCGCGAGAGACAGATTAGCGGCGGCCCGAGTGCCTCAATGACTCAATGACCACCGGGCGGCAGTTTCCTAGCCTCAATTACAGGCTGGCTGGCCACGCCATTCCCTGATTCGCCGATTAAACGTGAGCGCGTCGCCTCTGGATGCTCTCCAACGCCACGCCAGCCACGCCGCCTCGCCGCCACGCCGCCACGCCGAGGACGAGCGAGGAAAATGCAAATGTCACCTAAAAAATGGACTTGAAGGGACGCATTTCCGAGCGATTTTCTCTCTCGACGCGAAAGAGGGAAGTTTCGCATCCTCGCAATCAACTCAACACTCTTTCGACAGGGGTGCATCTGCATGCATGGTGATCCCGACCCTGACTTGTTTAAAAGAACAATGGGAGTCCTAGTTTTTACTCACTGTGGCATGTCCTCGGAACAGACGTCCCTGTCAGAGTCTCCAAACACTTGGTACAGCTCGTCACACAAGCGCTGCTGCACCTCGGGCATGAGCGACAGGATCTTGAGGGCCCAGCACAGCGCGGTGGCCGTCGTCTCCACCGAGGCGGCGTAGGAGGTCTTCACTTCGTCCTGGATGGCCTCCTCCGACATGGGCTCCTGGTGCTCGGGCGTGTCGATCATGATGTCCATGAGGGTTTTGCGGATAGGCTCGGCCTCCTCGGACTTCTTGGTCCGGAGCGCCGCCCGCTTGCGGATGATGAACTTCTTAGTGAACGAGTCCACCACCTCCTTCATCTTGAGCATGTTGCGGCCGTCGGCGGTGAGCATGAACAGGCTGTCGGACCAGAGCAGCGGGTTGAAGGAGCGCAGCATGACCGTGCGGAAGAACTCGTCGATGAAGTCGGTGATGGAGTGGATCTCGTCATCTTCGTCCCAGTCATCGCCCAGCGACGTCAGGATGAAGGCCCTGGTCATGGGCCGTCCGATCAGCTTGCGGACGTCCACGTCCTGCTCGGTGGGCACCGTCTTGAGGAAGTCCTTGGCCACGGCGTTGAAGTCCGTCACGAAGGTGTCCAGGACGCTCTTCTTAAAGCCCGGCGCCAGCCAGACGCGGTGCTCCTTCCACTCGGGGCCGCCGAGCTGGATGAGGCCCCGCTTGGCCACCACGTGCAGCAGGCTGTACGCGAACACGGACTTGTCGTTGAGGTCCTTGCGGCGCACCAGCTCGCCGAAGCAGGTGGGGTCGCTGATGACGATCACGGTGCGGGTCAGGAGGGACAGTTGGCACAGGTGGCGGCCCTCAACCAGCTTGAGCAGCGTGTGGAACAGCTTGTCCAGGTCCATGTTGACGAACTCCAGGGCGTGGCCGATAAAGGGCAGGGCGGGCGGCCCCGGGACGGAGCTCCGGTAGCCCTTCATGGCCCGCAGCGCCAGGGCCACGATGCAGGCCACCAGCGCCACCAGCACCGCCACTGTCACGGCAGCCATTGCGAAAATGGAACGTGCTGTCCGCGCGGACTTCTATATGTAGCTTCCGATGCACTTGTAAAAAAACCAGCCTTGACTACTCACTCGGCTCACTCCGCTATTTGACGCGCGTGCGAATGGCTTACCTAACAAAAAGGAGGGGGGCGGGCCCGACAGGCCCGACATGCCCGACAGGCCCGACCTGGCTGCAAGATGCACTGCAAGCCCAGGCTGGCGTTCTGGTGGACCCCTCCGCTTGGTCATTAGGAGTTTAATCGTCTGCTCATGCATTCAAATGGAAAGCCACGTGCCACGTGCTAGCCAGCTCCAGCCAGCTCAAAACAGATCCGGTTCTTCACTGGCACTGGCTGCACAGCGTGGCTGCATAGCGTGGCTGCACAGCAGCCGGTTTTGGATAGGACAGGGAGTGCCCCCCCGCATCCTGGCCTCCCGCCCGGCCTCCCGCGTCGTTCGCGTACAAACTGCAAGTACTCTCTGTTTATGACGATTGATACAAATACATTCATCATTAGTTTTACGAGGGGCGTTATTGAGGTTTCTAGCCGTGTTTTCTGCAAAGCGCTTCAACTTTATGGCCCTACAAAACGAGTTTGATCCCAAGGAGAACACGTCTCTGACGGTATGGTCCAGTCATGACGTCTGATCGAGATGTGCAGTGCATGCAGTCGGTCCATGATGACGTTTTCGAGACTTGACCTGACGTGTGTTCGCCTCCGGTTTCATTTCACAGTTGCATCGGGTGTTTTTCCCCGGTACCATCAGGATGGGAATTAAGTTTTGACGTGCACGTCATCCCTCCAACATCAATCAAATGAGCTCCTCGATAAGTGAACTCAGCGAACTTAACACCACTACCAGGTCAGTTCATACATCTCAATCAAGGCCTAATGGATTTACAAGTGTTTTTTAATGGTTGTGGTGATTTTTTCTTAACAGGAAAGTTAAATGACCTACCTGCAACGAACACACTCATCCAACCCTCATAAATGTTATTCTGGTGGATTTCGAAAGCCAGGGAAAATTTCTCGCGGAAAATTTTCTTTTGAATTGGAAAAAAACGCTTAGTAATTGTGTGACTCCTTGGGGAATTTACCGTGCTCGGTCTCAAAAGTGTCGAGTCATTGTCAGACTCACCGTCAGCCTCATTCAGAGCGAGAGCCACAATTTGATTTCATTTTTTTGCCCCAAACACAACTGCCCACAGCAGATACCCGTGTCGGACTCGGTTTGATTTTGCTTCGATACGCGTCGATGCTACGCGACGTGAAGTATGCAGGAATTCCCTGATTTTTGCATGTTGTTTGCATGTTTGCGCCGTTTGTGTTTTCCGATCGCGTTCGATCGCGTTGCTACAACTTAGTGTGCGGATGGCGCGTCGCCACGGCAGCGTCAGCCTCCAGGACGCGTTCCAGATCGTGTTCCAGATCGCGTTCCAGATCGTCCCTCTGGACGCGCCACTGGAGAGGCAACGCATCCCTTCGTGCCCCTGCAGCGTGGGTGGCAGTTTGGAGGCGCCACATCTCGAGGGGTCACGACTCTTTGATTTAGTGTCAGCCGGATCACCCCTCGGATTACCTATGAATTTCACTGAAAATTTGCCAAAATTGACCTTTGTCTCTAAGTGTTATTTTTTACCGTCCAGGCGCTGTCAGCCGGATGAGCAGAGTCGTTACTCCTCAGCACTGCAAAGCGATTCCGCGCATCGTTGTCTTCATCGTCGGCGCTCTGTCTATGTCGCGCTCATGAGCGCCCCGAGCGCCCCGGCGTGGGACATGCCATGCAGCACTGCACAGGTCTCTGGGTCGGATGCTGTGCAGCAGGGAGTGCTGATTGGAATGATTGGCGGTGTACCAGGCGCCGTTCAACAGGCTCGGGAGGGGGGATGCGCTTCTTGCCTGTGTGCGGGCTGGCGAGCGAGCTTAAGGGGGGACCCTGGTGAAAAAACCGCCAAAATTCCAATAAATTGTATTTTCAAAGTTCATAGATAAAAATGTGCATAGAAGGTTTCAGACTCAACAGGTTGAACACCTTTAAGCTAAGTGGGTAGTTTCTTTATCATTTGGAAGGAAATAACATTGAGATCAGTTGTCGTTGGCTTCTACGCTCAACTTCACAGCTTTGCTCAGTCGACAATAAATTTTGTCGTAGAAAGACTTCCTGCGTTCCTGGTTGACACCTACATGAGTCGTCTTGCATGGACTCTATTCATTGATGGCTTGTCGACAAATTTTAGTGACGGAATCTTGATATCAGCCCTACTTTTTTTAAAACACACCTACAAGTTTGAAAAAAGGGAAAAAAATCACTTTTTTTTAAATGTTAAAATTTGAAAACTCATATCTCAGGACAGAAGTTGAATTTGAAAATTCCGTCACTAAAATCTCTTCTATACATCTTTAGGATAACCCAAAAAAATTTTCAAGACTTTCCGTCCCAATGAAAGACGCAGGAAGATTTTTCCCCAACGCTCCAAAAAACACTAAAAAGCCCGCCCCTCGGAGTCAAGCCCCTCGTGGTTCGGTAGAGCACATGAGCGACTTGGGATCGGGCGCCGTGTTGCCAGCAGTCCTTTACCGCGGATCCGTGTACCCCTCCCCGGTCCCCTAAAACCGAAATCCGGCAACATGGTGCCCGATCCCAAGTCGCTCATGTGCTCTACCGCTCTGGCCGTACTGACGTCACAGCCCCCTGGTAGCTAGGCAATCTCAACAACTGCCCGGCGAGCGGTTTCAGTTTCAACAAGGCGGTTGGTTCTAGTCCCTGGTTTTGTTTATTCCGGGTCCGTCGCAGTTTGCTCGTAATGTTTATAAACAATAAGTATTCTCTTCACGTTACGGTGTGGTGCAGAAGACAGACTTGACCTGTTTGTTTTTCCTTGACTTCCAGTGCTCTCCCTGATAACTTGCACGTTCCTCATCTAACCAAGCCTACACGACGCTTCTGTTGTGGTGGGACTGCTGTCTTCTAACCTCTACCTCTTCCTAACAACTGTCACTTGACTTCACCTCAGCTCGAAAACAGAAAAACCGAAAATGCCGCCAAAGAACAAAATGACTACAAAGGTGTGTCCCGACTGCGATACCCCGTGTGCAGTCGCCTGCAAGACTTGTACATGTGGCTACTCTTTCTATCAGGCAAGGCGCAGCGATGGTGCACAGGCTTCTGCCTCAACCTCTAGTGCTGGAGATCAAACAGAACAGGACGGAGTCCGACAGAGAAGAACTCAACGGATAAAGGAGAAGCCCAACTACTATGACGCCACAGAATTCATGAAGGAAAAGCGAAAGCGAAGACGGAGGAATGACGATCAGTATGAACTGCGCAGAGCCAATGAGCCAGCGGCACCATCTGGGGCATCTGGGGCACTGAAGAGACGCAAGAAGAGGAAAGGCCGAGGAGCAGCCAAAGAAGAGGAGGAGGAGGAAGAAGTTGTACTGCCAATTGGAAGCGCACCGGAGAGGGTGGCCCAGTGTGCTGTTATTCTAGCTGACATTAATAGAAGAATACAATCCTCTGCTGTTAGAGTTCGGTGAGGGTTGCCTCACTTTTTGCCTTGTTTTTCTGTTTTAATGTGTATCATTGATGTAAAAATTATTGTAAGAGGATCTATGTGTTTATCTAGGTGATCGTGTATATATTTACAATCATTGAGTTTTAAAGGATTGACCTGAGTCAAAGAGATCTCATCTAGTATTTGCTTCTATATTGTACAATAGTATTATATGTATGGTTAAGACTATATTTGTGTACAGTGTTAGGGCTATCTTTTTTGAATCTCAGGTCTGTGTTTTTTGTCTTTATAAGCCTGAATAAAGTTTCTTGTTTACTTAAAAAGCTTTATTTTTCTTATCCAATTCAATTCATAGAAAATAAACAACTGTTCATGGACGGATCAACTGTATATCAGAATACAGTAATGATTGCTTTTCCTGCTATCTACTATTCTCTACTTTGAGCATATCGCCTGTATAAAATACCTTATTTACTTATAGTAATATTAGTGCATAGAGCTAGAGAAGGCACTGCATTTGATAATTCACATTAGGAACAAAAGAGCAAATTTAACATGAACGTATTTTCCAATCCAACAAATTAAAACATGATTTTCAATAGGATTTCTGTCAGCAGAATTATGTGTCCCTCTTCTAGAGTGTTGAGGTGGATGCACAAAAGCCTCTTCCTTCAATCATTAATAAGATTCTGAAGGATCTAAATAGAAATTACAATGTGGCACTGCACTGCTGTACTTAGTGCCAAAAGCAGTATTAAAATGTAAAAAAAAGTAAAGAATAAAATTGCAAATTAGGAAAGTTTTCAAGCATAAAACCATGAGTTCATGTTATAAAACTTCATGACATTCATGGCATTCATGACAGTTTCCATGGTAGGACTAATTAATACAATCAAAATGCACCCAAATGGACGGGGTGTCGTACACATATTGCTTCAATTCAAAATTATTTTTGCTAGGAGGAGTTTAAGGGTAAAGGGAAAAAGAGGGCTAGAAATGGAATCGTGGAAGTAGTATTCTGTTCCTCATGCAGTTGACATAATCTTAAGATACAGTGATGGGTTCAGTGGCGGCTAAGTCCGGGAGGGGGACGCCAGTAACATTCTTCCGCCCCTGAAAGTAGGCATCTCATGGCACAATGCCTTTAGCGGCATGAACGAAGGCTTAATGGACGAGTTGCCTGCGTTCTGAGAGCCCCCACCTCAATCGATCTCGCAACACCAGTCCCGCTGGTCCCGCACGGGCCGCACGCCGCTGCGTAAGGTTCAAGGGGAAGTACTAAAAGAAAGGCGATAGGTCGGGCAGGGATTGCCCGGGTACGAAGTGATTCTGCCTCAACAAAGCAAAAGGCTCTTTTCGTGCTGTTTCTGTTGCAAAAGTGAGTAACATTTGGCATTAAAACTCTTGCTCTTATTAGTTTATGACTGAATCATATTGATTTTGTGGAGTGAAAGTTGCCCACATCCTTAGCACGTGAATTTGAATTCATGCTAATTTCAAATAATTGGGGTGGCACAATTACAATGTAAATAAGATATAAATTGAAATATTGACTAGCATACCCAGTCAAAGTCTAACTTAGTATGGTATAGAAACTATTAGATAACATGGAAAGATATCTTCCAACCTGTTTCCGTCAAGACTTGTCTAGACTTTCCACACTTGAAATGGGAAATAGGCACAAAACTGTGCCCCACGAGCAGGGATAGTTCAAAGTGGCTCGAAACCTCCAAAGAAACGTTTTTCGCGCCATTTTGATTATTCCTAGCCGCGGGGGCTTCCCTCTGCTCGCAACCATGGCCATTCCGGCACCGGGAGAAGGTGACACTCCACCAGCAACCCGACTCGTGAACCCAACGATACCGTCAGTGATAACACGAGTCTCTCTCGTTTTGCCTGCCGTGCGCCCCGAGGGTCATACTCGGTTCGGTTCACGCCCGCGAGATAACTCTAGAAGCGCGACGACGAAAAGAAAACAAACAACAAAAAAACCACGGCAAACAAACTGGCCAATCACGTGGGGCCACGGAGCACGCCGAAGTGGCGGTGGACTTGATCGGGAAGGGCGTCGGCGTTGGCGGTCGCGCCCGAACCCCCCGCACCCCGCGGCCCCGTCAACCCTGACGGCGTGCTGACGGCGTGCTGACGGTAGGCTTCGGGGGAAGAAGAGAGAAAGGCGAGCGCGGCGACGTCGCGCTGTCGGCTCGGCCTTCGGCTCGGCGTCGTCGCGACGCGCTGACTGGCAGTGACTGCAGCGACTGGTCTCTAGTCGTCCACCACGTCCCACAGCATGAGCGTGGCGTCCGTGCCGCCCACCGTGGCCACCAGGCGGTCGTTGAACAGGAAGCGGGCGCACGCCACCTGCAGGCTGTACACCTTCTCCTCGTTGTACTCCGCCTTGGCGCTGAGGCACGGGTACCTGGGGGCAAGCAAGGCCGCCGTTCAGGGTCTCTACTCCACTCCACTTTGCCACTACTGTATTTGTTTGTGCATTTTCGTTGTTGTTTTCTTTCAAGCGAGGGTGCTGGCCAACCTGAAGAGCCGCAGGTAGCCGTCCGAGTCGCCGCTGATGAGCAGGTCGTGGGCGGCGGACCGGTTGGCGGACACCACCAGCGACGTCATGGGGTAGTACCGGTTGTTCCAGATGCCTGCCGGGCGCCGACACACGAGAAAACAACGTAAGGGGAAGTGTTGATTCAATAAGTACGTGGACACAATTTCGCAGTGTCTTTAAGGTTTCGTGAGGGCGACTCAATGAGAAGCTCGTACCGGCCACGGTGTAGCCGACGCAGCAGGTCTGCGTGTACCACTTGACGTCCTTCATGGCCACGGGGCTCTTCTCCGCGGACAGCGCCTTCACGTCCCCTGCAAAAGACAAACAGCGCGCCGCGCGCTCGTCAGTGCCGCTGCCAAAACAACAACAACACCAACTGCAGCAGCAGCAACAACAACTGCAGAGCCTTACAGAAGGTGAGGTCGTAGTCCTCGGTGGCGGTCTGCAGGAAGCCGCCGTCCGTGCTCCAGTCCAGCTGCGTGAGCGGCTGCGAGCCGCGGATCTTGTGGGCGCGCTTGTAGGAGTAGCCATCCCGCGACACGCGGAACAGGTACACGGAGCCGTTCTGCGACCCCACGGCGATCACGTCGCCGGCTGCCGAACAAGGAACACGCGCCCGCCGTGTTAGCGAGGAGCAAGGCACAGTGGGCCAGCAGACCGGTGGAGGCGGTCATATCCCGGTCGCTAAATGGGACTCGAACCGAACGTGTGACCCCACCAATGGACTGCTCTCCGAACGAGGAATCCATTGGTGGGGTCACAAGCTCGGTTCGAGTCCTGTTTAGCGACGCTATAGCTCGGAACGCGTGTAGAGTTTAGGCCACCGCCGGCGCCGGCCTTTTGGCCCACTGCGCAAAAGTCCAGGCGTCCGCGGGTTCGAATACCCACACCACGCAGTGCAATTGTTTAAGTTACTCTAAGTCCTTACCGGGGTTGTAGGCGAGGCAGGACAGCGGCGAGCCGCAGACGCGCACGGACGCCACGGTGGCGCTGGTCTCCGCGTTGAGCACCATGAGGTGGCCCTCGGTGGAGCCCACGGCCAGCGCCATGCCGAACGGGTGGAAGCTCAGGGACACCACCTCGTACGGCAGCTGCAGGAACAGAGACGCGGACCCGTTCAATCATCGTTCTGTAGACTCATTCCGAAAGTCGTTTTCGTCGCTCTGTCTGACTATGCCGGGACGCCTCATGAGTGCGAGAGAGACAGGGCGATGAAAACGACTCTCGGAGTCAGTCTGCGCTGAAGGCTGAAGCCAGTGCCGATGTGGCGGTGTAGCCCTACCTGCGTGTTCCACACCAGCTTGTGCTTCCTCCAGAGCGCGACGTGCTTGTCGTGGCCGCCGGTGGCGAACATCTCCTCGTCGGGGTGCACGGCGAGCCCCCACAGCTGGCGGCAGTGGCCGAACACGACCTGGTTGAAGCGGCGCTGCAGCGAGCCCTCCAGGATGTTGTTCCTGGTGGTGCCCACGTAGATGTTGCCGTCGTTGCGGCCCGGCCGCTGCGGGTACAGCGACCGCACCCCGCCCGCCGCCTCGGCCAGCTTGGTCTCCGTGATCTTCTTGTAGTTCTGCAGCGAGTCCCACGCGATGATGCGCCGGTCCTTCTCACCGCCGGACAGCAGCGTGCCCTCGGACAGCATGACCAGCGAGCTGACGCCCTTGTTGTGGGCCTGGGGGAGAGGAAGGGGCAATCAGGGCGAGCTGCATCCTGCCGACTACAGGCTGATTCCGAGAGTCGTTTTCGTCGCACTGTCTCTGTCGCACTCACGGGGCGCTTCCTCGACAAGACAGAGCGACGAAAACGACTCGGAATCAGTCTACCGACGAAGCACTGTACCTCGAACTCCAGCCGCACGAAGTAGGCGCCGTCCGCGTCCACGGAGTACACCGTGATGAAGCCGTCGGCGTCCGCCGTGACCACGTCGCCGTCCTGCTCGAACTGCAGCGCCGTGACGTGCGTGCGCGACGGCTGCGGTCGCGTGCGGAAACAGAGAGAGCAGGGTGTATCTCTACGCGGTAACCGCGCTGCACGGAAGAGCGCTTCGTCGCACAGTGGGCCAGAAGACAAGACCGGTGGAGGCGGTCAAAATCCGGAACGCGTTTTGAGCTCCAGAGTCGCTAAATGGGGCTGGAACCGACGCGTCTAGAGCTTTGGCCGCCCCCACCGGTCTTCTGGCCCACTGTGCGTCGCTCTGTCTCCCTGAGCATCTTCCGGGGTGCAGTAGAGACAGAGCGACGCAACGATCCTTCTGAATCGCTCGGCAGAGCCAGAGCCCCAAGCCCTACCGGCTTGATGATGTCGGTGCGCTCGAAGAAGCCGTCCTTCCTCCGCGTCCAGAAGGTGAGGTGGCCCTTGCCGTGCGTGATGAGCAGGTTGTCGTCCAGCGGGTGGAAGGCCGCGCCGGACACGTCGTCGTGGAGGGTCTGCAAACATGAGTGACGTGGAGGAAACAGTTTCATTCTGGCTGTTCGAAAGACGAAGACGGATAACGGCAAAGTCGACGTGCTCCGTTGGTCCTACCGCCACTTTGCCGAGCAGGTGTCCCCACTGCCACTGCCACACCGAGAGGATCCGCTCGCGGCCCGCGTCCACGGCCAGCACGTAGCTGCCGCCGTTCTGGAAACGAAAAGGGTTTTTGTGTTTGTTTTTTTCTGGTGACGCGCTTTCGCTTGAAAACGGTGCACTGTAATTATGGCCCCGCCTTACAGTGGTCCAGAAGACCGGTGGCGGCGGCTACACGCGTTTTGAGCTACTGAGTCGCTGAATGTGACTCGAATCGACCGTGTGACCCCACCAATGGATTGCTCTCCGCACGAGGAATCCATTGGTGGGGTCACACGTTCGGCTCGAGTCCCATTTAGCGACTCTAGAGCTCAAAACGCGTCTGAGTTTTGGGCCGCCTTCGCCGGCCTTCTGGCCCACTGTGCGCCCCCGCCTCACCAGCTGCGAGAAGGCGACGGCCGAGACGCCCGCGTCCAGCTCGCCCATGCCGAACACGTAGAGCGTGAGCAGCGTCTCCGTGCTCCAGATGCGGATGTGCGCCTGCGTCTTGCGGCTGCGGCCCGCGCGCTGCCCGGACGCCACCATCTCCCTGGACGGGTGCAGGTCCATGCACATGATGTCCTCGGTGTGGCCCACGTAGTGCCGCTGGGCGTCCTCGTCGCGGTCGTACAGCACCGCCACGGCCGCCACGTAGTACATGATCTCGCCCGTCGGCAGCACCCACAGGTTGCGGCGCGCGTCCACGCCGCGGTACCCGAACCTGGAGGCTGGCCGTCAAGGAAAACGCACCGAAAGCAGAGACGACATGGAAGGGAAGCAGAGCGCCCGCCATCGCCAGGGTAGGCAACCCAACGCACTCACGGTGAGCGTGTTGCCTATCCCACGCTCTGCGGGCGCTCGCAGTTGCTGTTGACGGCTGGACCACAAATGATCGTATGCCTTCGGTGGCGGGCGGCGGCGGCCCGGAGCGGTTCAACCGGGTTCAATACTGTCCCAAAAGTTCACCCGAACTGACAAAAATTTACTCGACTGCCCTAGCACTGATTTACCGACCCAGAAAATTCTCAACAGTTGATGCTATTCTTTTTTAACGGTGCAGTTTCAAGGATACACCCAGTTGAGCTGCAGGCGCTTGTCGGGCGGCGAGTTGTCGAGGGGCGCGTGGTGCAGCGGCGGGTAGAAGGTCCGCCGCAGTCCGCGGATCGTGACGCGCACCGGCTCCTCCTTCATCAAGTCCAGCACGGCGTAGTCTGCGGCACCGAGAACAGAGAGCGTCTCACTCCCGCCCCATCACCTCGAACCCGAACGTCCACCGGAGTCGAAAGGTTTGCCAAGCCCGATTACGAGTCAATGACGCTAAAGTGGGCATTCGGTGTAATTTTTGGAGCGTCATAGTGGGCCAGAAGAATGGTGGGGGTGACCAAAACTCTAGACGCGTTTTGAGCTCCTGAGCCGCTAAACAGGACTCGAGCCGAACGTGTGACCCCATCAATGGATTCGTCGTTCGGAGAGCAATCCATTGGTGGGGTCACACACTCTGGAGCTCAAAACGCGTCTAGAGTTTCGGCAACCTCCACCGGTCTTCTGGCCCACTGCGCATCGTGGCGCGGGCAACACTGCGGCCTACCTGTGGCCCTGATGGGCTCCGGGTCGGCGTACAGCACCCTGGGCCTGCTCTTGGAGCGCGCGCGGCGCCGCGTGCTCAGCGGCTCGTCGCGGTCGTCCATGATGGCGTGCGCGTGCGTGGAGGCGGCGCGCGACCGGGACCGCCGCACGGGGGACGACGGCCCGGACACCGCCTCGCGCACCGACGAGGACGTCAGGTAGAACGTGTCCACGTCCGCGAACTCGTTGCGGAGCTGCGAGAAGCTTCGCACCTGCATGGAGACGGTTGTTTGTGAAATACCTTGTACAGATTTCTTTTAAAAGTATCTTTTTATTTGTTTTTCTTTTTAAAAAAATTGTTGTTTTTATGAAAGAATTTTTTTTTGATTTTTTTTTACTTTGCTAATTTTTACCTCCTGTCCTGAGACTGTGAGCATCCTCTTGGCGTTGTTCATCTTGAGCACCTGGCCGAGGTCCTCAACGACACCCTCGAAGGGTTGCGACGTCCGGAGGTTGAGGAGCACCCGACACTGGACACGCAAAAAACATCAACACCGAACGCCAAACCACGGTCCGACCCAAATGAAAAACGTGTCAGTAAAAACAAAACAAACAAAAATACGTCAGCAGGTTGAGCAGCTGACGACACAGCACACGGCAACAGAGCCGTCAACACCAAACGCCGAACGGTCCAACCAAACAGGTGTTGACAAAACCAAAAGCAAAAACAAAAAACAAAAAAAAAAACAACAAACAAACAGGAACAAAACACCAAGCAAACACAGCGATGTTTCGGTTGAAGACAGCACGCACACGGTGTGGCCACCACTACTTCACACAACAAAGTGATTCACCCAAGAAAAAGAGAAACACACACTAAACAAACACAAAAAAAAACAAGGATTTCGTAAAAGAAAGTGGAGTGGTGGAGGAGCGCAGCAGGGCTGCAGGCGAGACGGGGGTCGCGGTCGGGGTTCGGCCGGAGGCACGCAAGGCCGGCCAGCCGACTGATTCCGAGAGACGCTCTGTCTCTCTCGCACCGATACGGAACGCCCCGTGAGTGCGAGAGAGACAGAGCGACGAAGGCACTGTTCGGAATCAGTCTGCAGGCCCTCGGCCAGGCCGGCCAACACGCTAAAGAGAACGCCACACTACGCTGCACACAAAACACACACACACTCACTTAGCACTTGGGCAGACCTTGGCGCGCCTTGCGGCGCCTTGGCGTAGGGTGGCTAGGGTGGCCAGGGTGGCTAGGGTGGCCAGAGGGCGGCGGGCGGCAGCGCCAAGGCAGCGCCAGGCTGACCCTGGAGAGTGGCGGCCTGGCGGGGCGCGCCAATGAAGGAAACGTTTAAATTCAGGGTCAAATCGCAGCGCGGTGGGGTGGTGGCGAGACGGGGCGGGGCGGGGTGCGGTGGCGCAGCACGCGTCAGCAGTGCCCCACGCCACCCACCCACTGAGTTGGCAGTGGCGAAACATATCCGGCAATTTCGAAAAATTCCGAGCATCGGTTGTTTCACGCCATGTTCAGCACGGCAGCAGACTGATTCCGAGAGTCGTTTCCGTCGCTCCGTCTCTCTCGCGCTCACGGGGCGTCCCGTGTAAGGTGCGAGAGAGACGGAGTGCTGGAATCGACGCTCGGAATCAGTCTGCAGGAGTGGAGCGCTATTCGGGGTGGCATTTCCATCGCGGGGGAGGAAGCGCTATGCTGGGCAACGCCATGCAGAGTGAGGGAAGACCACGAGGCGCGACTGGAACGCAGTGGGGTAGTCGAAGACGTCGAAGACGCAGGACTCAGGCGAAAGTACGCTCTTCAAGGGCACCTCTGTGAGGAGGGAAACTTCGGAGGCAAACCTGTAGGCAGAGAGGTGGCCGAGCGCCCGCGGATTCGGGGGTAGGCAAGCCCGCTGGACAGGCGTGTTCGGCGGGCTGGCCCACCGTCGTCGCCGCAGGCGGCAAAAGAGAGGCCGCTGACTCCGAAGACCCGCGGGGCACCCCTATGAGTGTGAGAGAGACAGAGCGACACCGGGCGGACTCACCTGGATGTTGTGGTCGTGGCCGTGGATGATGCGGATGACCCTGCCCGACGACGCCTTGCCCCCCGCGGGGCCCAGCGGGTCGGCGTCCAGCACGCTGGATTTCCTGGCGAGCGGCGCGTGGGACCGCCCCCAGCCGCCGCCCCCGGACGCGCCGCCGCCCCCCAGCGCGGCCCCCGGCCCGGTCGCGCCGCTCACGCCGCCTCCCGACGCGTACCACACGCCGTTCTTCTTGCCGTAGCTAGCAGTCTGCAATCAGAAGGGCAGCGGGACAGTGAGCAAAGAAGGTTCCTGTCGCCGGAGTTGCCGCAGTGAGTGCGTCTCGGAATCTCGGTGGAGTCATTGCAGTGTTTCCCACGCATGCAGAGCATCGAGCACCTCCCGATAAAGAGTCCCCTAAATTAAAAAAAAAAACTTCATTATTCTTCTCATATGAAGTTAGAACATACACTGTTATTTCAGCTGGGATACGCACTGTCTATTTTGGCGCAATACAAATTTAACTCCAACCTTTTTTCTGATAGCGGTTCTAATGCTAGCCCTGTTTTTTCTTGCAGTTCTACCACAAGTTTTCACAGTACGTAAAAGTAAGACGAAAGGCCTTTTCTCTATGGGGAAAATAATTGAGGGACAACCATAACTGAAGGATTGCACCCTAGTATGCGATGAATCGCGGGAAATCGCTATAATCAAAAATCTATACTTGAAGAAAAATAAAGAGAGAAAGTACAGCACAAAATAGATGAGAGTGCAACCTTGCTCGGCGGCGGCCCGAAGCAGACGCGCCGCGGCCGCCGCCACCTCCACCGCCGCGACGGGCGGCACCGCGTCGACGAGGTCCACGACGTCCGGGACGTCCGGGACCAGCACCAGTCGCCGCAACTCATGCTGCACGCGCAGTGACGCGCAGTGCGGGGCCGCCGAGGGGGCCGCCCTCCCGTGGCCTTCTCCGCCTCCTCCGTGTAGGCCTCGGCCTTCATGCACGGCCGCCACGGCCGCCACGGCCACGTGCCAAGGCCAATTAGAGGCCTAATGGATGGCGAGATAATGATGAGGGTGTGGCGAGACGTCCCCCACCCCCTCTGCCACGCCCCCGTGCGAACCTTCACCGTGAACCCCGTCATGGTCAAGGAGGCCCTCTCGCCGCCCACACATCCACAAAAACGTGTCCGTTGCAAGCTGGCAAGCCTCGGTCTCCGATGCCAGGACATGCAAGGTAAGTCGGAGACTGAAACGCTGCGACCGTTTTCCATGCGAGCTTTGTCCTTTCAGAGTGTGCCGCGCCGCGGGGCGCCGCGGGAACCGGGGCACGGTGGGCCAGAAGACCAGAGGAGGCGGTCAAAATCTCGGACGTGTTTTGAGCTCCAAGTCGCTAAATGAGACTCGAACCGAACGTGTGACCGGATTGCTCTCCGAACAGGGAATCCATTGGTGGGGTCACACGTTCGGTTCGTATCCTGTTTAGCGACTCTGGAGCTGAAAACGCGACCGCCTCCACCGGAAGACTGCAGTGTGCGTGCACCTTGGGTCTGCTGATGCGCTCGGCGTGCGGGATCCTGGTGAGGTCCTCCGTCTCGGTGGCCACCAAGAAGCGCGACATGCTGGTCGGGCCTGGGCGCGCGCGTGCTGCAGTGGGCGTGCGCCGCGTGCACTGCCGTGCGGCGGGCTGGCGGGTGCCGCGGGCCGCGCGCGGTGCGGGGCTCGTCAGGGCGCGGTGCGGCGGCCGCCATCAAGGCCCAAGCCTGCTCCGCCTGCTCCGCCACGGCCGGTCCCCGCGGAGCCTACCTGCACGTAGGACTTGGACGGCAGGGCGAGGAGCGTGAAGGCAGAGCTCATGGCCCCTCACGGCGCATGGCCCGGCGCGGCTCGGCGCACTCGTCTCAGCAGTGCAGCAGCAGCGCGCGGCAGGGGGCATGGGCCGGACGCTCGAGTCGGCGGTTTGGCCGCGGTCGCGAGGACGGCCGAGACGACGAGGAGGACGGGGACGACGGCCACGGCGTGGAGGGCAGGCCGGGGCAGTGGCACAGGGCGAGGACGACTGAAGACTGACCACGGGAAGGGGCCAGGGCTTGCCAGGGCTCAGGGCTCGGCCGGGGCGGCGCGGGGCGGCAGGACCGGGGCGGGAAACCCACGCGCGCGTGGCGGCTGCTTGCGGCCGGGGAGGGGCGGCGGGGCGAGGGAGGCGAGGGTGCGACTTCGGCCTCGCCGCGGTCTGGCCTGCGGCCCTCGACCTGTGTCCGGCGGGGCCGCGCGGGGCGCCCTCCACCCTTCCACCCCGAAGCCCCCTCAGATCACATCACCCCCGAATCGCCCGGTGGTAGCATACCCCCACCGCCGCCCCCACCCGGCCGCGGCCGCGAAGGTCAGTTCTACCCCCTCTCCGCCGTAAAGAGACCCTCTCCTTAGATCAAGCCAAGCGAGCCAAGCCAGTGCGCCGCCCCCCTCGCCTCGGCAAGTGGAAAGGCTCGTTGTGATATTGTGCTGTAAACGATGGCAATCTAGCCTTGAGACTAAAGAGCCCCGCCGTGGCGAGCCTAGGGCCGCGCCGGCCGGGCAGCAGCCACTGCACTGCGTGGCGGACGCGTGGATGGACCTGGCCGTGTGTGCGTTCGATTTGCCCGCGTCGTGGGCCTGGTTCTCCACGGCAGCGGTCTTCGAGTCCTCCGTAACCACCTCGAACGAGCATTCGTTGCTCTGTCTCTCTCTCACTCGCACTCGTGAGGCATCCCGTAGGGGCGTGCAAAAAAGACAGAGCAAGAACAAAGCTGAGGTTCGAAAAAAAGCACCTCGCTGTACACAGATTCCGCACGACGCTGCGGCGCTGTCTCTCTCGCACACAGACGACACGCCTCATGAGTGCGAGAGAGACAGAGCGTGCAGGCGAGCCGGGCACGGCGGCACGGCACCGCAAAGTGGCGCGTTTCCCGCTTCCGCGAGCGCCTCGCCGTCTGAGTGAAAACGTAATGGCGAAATGGTGGCCACGCCACCCTAATTGAAGGAGTATTTGGAGGAGCGGCCGAGGCTGCCAAACAATTCCGAGAGTCGTTTTCGTCGCTCTGTCTCTCTCGCACTCATGGGGCGTCTCGTATGGGTGCGAGAGAGACAGTGACGAAAACGACTCTGGGAATCTGTCAACGGGGACGAGGGCGAAGCGAAGGCGAAGCGGAGGCGGGCCGATTACGACTGGCCTTCCGCCACGGCATCAAGTTTCGAGTTCGCGGTTCGAGGCCGTTCCTAACCTCGCCCAAAGCGGGCCGCCGGCGGCACGGCGGTCCTTGGCGGTCACTTACTGGACGAAGCGGGCCGCGCGGCCGAAATTAGACCGCCAGCCCAGTGCCCCGCAAGGCGAGGGTAAACACAAACACGCCGAAAAAAGGCGTCACGCAGGGTAAACGCGACGCGACGCCCAGGGTTGCTTTCGTCGCTCTGTCTCTCGCACCCGTACGGAACACAGCGTCTGCAGGGAGGGCCGGGCCCGCCTCGCAGAGTCGCAGAAGAACAACGGCGGCACGGCGATTGATTTTCATGACGCAAATACTCGCCTTGGCAGTCTTGGCAGTCTTGGCACACCCGCGGGGATCAATCTCAATCTATGCTCGATGATGAAGTGCGCTGCCTGCCTACGGGTGCGGCCGCGGTCCGCGCGGTCGTCGACGGCCAGGCCGAGTGGCGGACACCGCCGTGTCCGAGACCTGCGTCTCAGCAGACTGATTCCGAGAGTCGTTTTCGTCGCGCTGTCTCTCTCACACCCATACGGAAGGCCACATGAGTGCGAAAGAGACAGAGCGACGAAAACTCTGCGTTGTGACAGCAGTGGGAGGGTGGGTGGAAAAGTTGACAACTTTACTTGATGCCGGCCTTGATGTCGTGGCGCCGCGTGGCGCTGTATCGCCCGGCCGCCTGGCCGCCTTGCCGCTGTCCGGGGCTTCGTGAGAGTGATCCGCAACCTTGGTCACTTGGAGGGAATAATTGCCTCATAGACCACTCAGCACCGAGGGCCATGAGGAAGGGGAGGGGAGGGGGAGGGGAGGGGGAGGGGCGCCGCCGTGACGTTGCGTGCGGCGCCCGGGCTCAAGGATTCCATAGCAAACACACTCAGCCTTCAGGGATATGGAATATTATTATGCGCTGAACAATGGAAAAACTAAACAACAAGCAGCGGCAACAACAAAAGCAAGCGTCACACACAGCAACAAAAACAACAAAAACAGCGGGCGTGGCGGCAAAAAGGCGTGCTGGCTGCGCGGGGCTGCTGGCTGCTCGGCTGGCTGCCGAAGAAGTGCGGCGCTCGGAAGCTTGCTGGCTTGTTGCTTCTGGCGGCGGGAAACCCGGGGCGTTATTCACACACGCCGACAAGGCGCACGGCAGGCTCTCGCTCTCTCGCTCTCGCTCTCTCGCTCTCGCTCCTCTCGCTCTCTCTGCTCTGCTCTCTGCTCTCCTGCTCTCTCTCTCTCTCTCCTCTCTCTCTCTCTCTCTCTCTCTCTCTCTCTCTCTCTCTCTTCTCTCTCTCTCTCTCTCTCTCTCTCTCTCGCTCTCGTGGGGCGTCCCGGAGGGGTGCGAGAGAGACGGAGCGGGGAAGCAGTTTTGCTGGACGGCCTCAGAGACAAGCCGGCCGGCGACAAACGCCGCCGCCGTCGCGACGCCCCGCTGCTCCAGGCCCTCCAGGCCCTCCAGGCCGGCAGCGCGCTGCAGCGGGGAAACCCCGAGCCAACCCCCTTCGTTTGCACGAGGAACAATCGGCCGCGCCGAATCGAAGGAAAGACAAAGAAAGAGTTCCGCGAGTTCAGAGGGAAAAGGAACTCGCTATATCCTTGGGGTATTTACAAAGAGTTTTACACTCAGTACTGTACAGCACAGTTTTAATCATTCGTTTCCAGTATGATTTTCAAAGTTGACAGCGTGTCAATTGTTTTCACAAACAGAAACAATTCATAGTCCTTCATGAGAATTTCGTGTAAACGCTGGCGCCTTCATGACGAAACCTCTGTGAATTCCCCATCCGGGGCGGCATCGCGTTCCTCCCCAAGACGGGCACGTAGTAGTACACGCACGTGGGAAGGGGGAGGGGAGGCGACTCGGGGGCAAGGAACGTCAGCCGGGGCCCTCAAGTGGCGATGAAGCAATCTGTGTGGCCTTGGCGGCCCCTCGCCATCCCTCCCCCCCCCTTTCTCTCCCTCGTCAAGGGCTGGCAACGGCCAGTGGAGGGGGCAGTGGCCACGGCACAGAGTGGGGTGGCGGCGGGCACTTAT